ATTAGATACACAAATAGTTAATATTTGCATGATAACGTTCGTTACATACCCTGAAATTATATATTCAGTTACTTGAAATTAATAAAGTATACTGTACGTAGGCAGGTTTCTAAGAAGTAGTACTATAATTTTAAATTTAATAAAAAAATCTGTTTATAAAAAAGTTAAATGTACAATTTGTTCGGAATCTAATTTGAGCAGAGAAAAATAAACTCGACTCTAGCTCTTTTTAAATGTGATTATACATGGAAATACCTAATACAGACAGATTATATTATCTGTACCTATGTAATAAAAAAAGTTGCCATGAATATTTATAATAGGTACTTATATCCCATACAGTTTTAAGATATAGGTATATTGTATAAGAACTATATATCAAATATTAGGAATACGTACCTACCTGTTCAAATGATGTCAATGTCTCACTCTACTATAAATATTGAGGATTAAAACATTAAGTCAATCAAAATGTTATATAAGTACTCCCCTTGAGTCCGATGTTTATTGTAACAGCCGATGGTAGAGGCAGTTAATTGTTATCGTATCTTTCAAACTTTCTTGTAAAAATTATGACTACAATATAACAAAATAAATAACTAACGTAATATATGAATAAATAACACTATATGTTGTCAATCATAACATTGTTTATATTTTGTTTAGAATTATATAACTGAGTCAAGTTTTGAAGTAAGTATATATGAAAAATTCTACCGTTTAAAACTTCAAAACTTGCTTTCAATGCTAGTTGCAACACAGTTTAGGTATATACATATATGTAAATGTAAACAAGTTTACAGAGTTGAAATATTTCATTTTCAAAATATACCAAGCGTTCCATATGAATAAATATTTTTTGATTGGATTTATTTGTAATCAATAGGAACTCAAGAAATATCCCACTACTTTTTAAAGTACATTCCACCTACAGATAGGTAAGTCACCTACATTATCTGTGTGTGATATGTATTATATTTCAAGCGAACAGCCCTGCTTAATACACAAGTATTAAATAAAATTGCAAAGAATTATATATGTTTCCTATAATTGTAAAAGTGATAATGATAATTACAAGAATAGTGACATCACTCGAGACTTTCATTACGGAAACACAGCGAGTGTTCGGCTTACGCTGTAATTGGAACGGAACGTCTACACGTCTCGTTTGCACGTAATAACGACTTTATTTTAATATGCATATAGTCGTTATTTGAGTGAGATATCTGATGCACAAATGTTTTGCTTTTAAAAGTGCTTTGGAAGCCGAGTGGAGGCTCGAGCGCTTTACAATCGGAATAGGGGTGAAAAATGGAACGTCAGACTTGTCTTTCAGGTATAAATGTCTGTTTTGATATGGAAACTTTATACAATGAAATTGCAGATTGACTGAATAGGTACTATTAGCTAATTTTCTGACAACTGTGATTATACAGTTATAAATTTCAAATATCCTACTAATACTTGATATAAAGAAACGATGCATTTTATCAGTTTTTGTGTATGTAGTGGGTAACTGTGGTGTGGGGTCCATTGTTGAAAATTCAACATTTAATATCAAATCAATCATTATTTACCTATACATGTGGGAAGTTTTAGACGCCTATACCTGCACGTATTTTTTTTGTATTAATATTTTTCCCTAATGTCCAGTTCAATATACAGATTCAATTGAGAATAATTGCCAAAAAACTCAATAGAATTTCTTTTTTTAAAGCCATTCTATTTTTATTGTTATGCACTAACACATTATGTACAAAATACTTCATATTCCAAAAATTAATCAAATAAATCATCCGTAGAATACATGACCGTGAGCCATGATGACATTTTCAAGCAAAAAGTTTAATTTAGCACTTGAGTTATACTCAACAGCGGGTGTGGGCGTTATTGGGCAAACAGTACAATATGGCTGCCGAGAAAAATTACTAGTGGGAAATCTTGAGCACCCTTCGACTGCACCGAGGGGAATGGCGCGAAACTACGTGATCATGTGTCATATTTGTTATTTTTCATGTGGTACAATACTGATATTGTTATGGATTTATCATTGTATATAGTCTTTATATGTATACTAAATGATTAGTCGGAGTAAATTAATGAATCTATAATTTAGCAGTATATGACTAGTTTTATAGTATTTTATTTTGCTTGATTAAAATATATACTTATTGATCTTCTTGATTATTGTTGTGTTGACCCTTCTTTGGTTATAATTATCTTATCTGTGGTTATATACAATACAAATCTTGCAATCTACGGTTAAAAATAATAAATAGAACATGCGTCTTCAAATAAATAGCGTAGTAGTTGCAAGTCAAAATATGTATTTCTCTTATTACTATGGGGTCGGCGTAGCAATCATAAAAATGATGAAAACTCAACCCAGCGCCTTCTAAACAAACAAACGGCACGTAGTGTTGAAGTCAGTGCGTTAGTATAAATTATCACCCTCCTAACGTTTTCGTCTAATATGATAAATGTCATAGGGGAAGTTAGAAAGCTAATATTAAGTAGGTACAATAATTTTCAATAGTGCTTTTCATATTTTCATTTTGTTGCCATTCTCCACCAGGCGGGCCGTCAATTGGTCATTCGAAATCCTTGGTAAAAATAACCTACGTGTATATAATAAAATATTTAAATATATACAGAATTCAATAGCTCAAACAGTGACATATACCTAATTCCATGCTAACACGTAAATAGTATTTTTTGTACTCATAATACACATTAGATACCAATGGAGACATACTCGTTTTCATATTGATAAATATTTAAATTGAACGGGGACCGAACTCGCGAACATTGAAAATGAAGGCTAGACTATCATGTTAATCGTAGACAGCCCGTGAATCTTAATACGATTGTCTAAAAAATCCGTCACCGCTCTCATCTACCATCTCGCAGCATTTGCTAAAACTATTAAAAATAAAAATTGTCTCTGATAATTTCTAGACGTAACCCGTTTTTACATTTCAAATTCACAAGCGTACTGATAAGCTTCTGACTCTAGGCTGGTCCGGTCAACATCCGGACCGGCCGGACGTCATTACAACTCCGGAAAATCGGCAATCTCCTCTCCCTACCTGCCATTTTTTATGCTCCCTGTTACTTACATGTGGCGTCAAATGCAGCTATAACTGTACGTACCAGTTATTCGTACCTTATTTTGTGTTCCTATATAAATTAGTAGTTAATATACTTTTCGCTAAGAAATAATTCAAACCTAAGTGGTCTAGTCATTTTGTACCCCGCTTTCCGATGGTCACAAGTTCGATTCCTCGGAAGATGCAAACATTTGTATTCATTAGTATGATTGTTTGAGCCGCTCTGGGTATTTTCTACGGATATTAAGTAAATATTTACAAAAAAAAATAATGTTTATATCAGTTATCTAGTACTGATAACACAAGCTCTACGTGGGACAAAATGCATTAATGTATTTGTTTGGCATTTCACATAAAAAAAGACACTTAAAAAACGTTTGTAGTAAAACTCGAACAGCTGCGAACTCTACTAATACCTAGTGAAAATAGTAATGCCATAAATTACATAACAATAGAAACCGGCATAAAGACAAATCAGCTGAACCCAGCTGAAGAGAATATTTTCTAAAGCCATACAACATCCTAGTCGGCAATATTTTGCGATTTATACCCACGGGATATTTATTAGACCAATAAAATCTGTCCTTAACTCACGGTTAGCTTCCCATTTTCTTCATATATCATGACAGCGAGTTTACATTGTACGAGTGTAAAATGCACGATTTAGTACCCATATACTCATACGTACCCATTACATAAACAAACATATTATAGGAAAACTTTCTGCGACCTCTTAGGTTTAACGGTTTAGCACACCGCTTTGCTTCCAATTGTCGCGAGTTCGATTTCTCATACGATGATCATTTGTATTTTTCTTATCTAGATGCATTCTATATCTATATTAACCATCTACGAAAATATATTTAATTATTACTGAGAGTAATCAGTATTATTATATATTATGCACAATATTATACCTATATCTTACTAATTCATCATATGATAATAAATTCAGTCTAACTCTCTCTTTCTCTCTCTTACTAGCTACACGGTGGTGGGGTCAGCTTTCTTTATTCTTCTCCGCCACTTTACCCTGTCCCAGATATCGCCCTCAGAGACCTCGCACTCTATCATGTCTATTTGCTAGGGACATGATAGTACTTGGCACATGTAGGCCCCTAAGTAGATTTAGCCCGGGGGGAAGTGGATTGTTAGTAATGTGGATTGATAACCCCATTGCTAGCAATGTACCATGTAAGGTCGACCTCCACGCGGTTCCCCCTGGAAACCACCGTGTTAAATTCCTGGTGAATTTGTCACGATGGGCCAACTGACCTGACCTCAAGCTCATCTTATCATCCTGCACTGGTGCCCCGCCAGCGTAAACTGTTAGCGCAAGCGGGTGCACCATTCCATTATCATCCACAAAAAAAAAAGTATATTTAGCCCAGGTCCCCACATATTCACGATCCGCCCCTGTCCTTAACAAAGATATGGCTTCACGATTCTTATTCGCTTTCTTCACAATTACGATATAGTAATTGCCATTACTTACTCGTTACTTAAATTTATTTAAGTAATGAAATCTCTTAGAAATAGCAATACACAAAGCTATGTAACTCCCACTTGCCACTGTGTCACTAAAGTCATGATATAAGCACGATATAGATAATATCAGCAAACAGTACTGTTAGGTATCTTGCAAAATTCATAAAACAAAATTATTTATAGCGCCCTCTCTTAACATTACAGTAAAGCTAATATTAAACTTTTCAACATCTGCTGTTTTGACATGCAATTTCTGTTAATGCAAAGTTCCTAAAACATTGGTTAGATGTAGTTGCATTATATTTAAATGATGTAGAAATATATGACTAAAAACTTCTGTATACTCTTCTCTCTTCTCTTGCAGTGATAGAATTACGAAAATAAAAAACACAAGAACTAAGTTAACTATATATTGCAAAATTATGACTATTATATTAATTATTTACAGATCAACTAAACTATTGTAATGAACACTGATTACTTTACTTAGTAAATTCAACATAAATTGTTACTAAATAATAAATTTGTATCCATTACACTGTTTACACTTCATCGATAAGCTTGAATCTCTGATGCTGAGGTTCTGGTATAACATTGAAATATTTCTTCAATATTGTCTGTTGTCCACGGCCACCATAGATTCTCTGTACCCATGTATGCTCCCAATTGGGATCAAACTTCTCACATGTCACCACTACTCTACCTGGCACCATAGCAAAGAGAGTCCCATTGCGACCAAACCCAACCTGTGTAACAGAAACCAAATAAATTAATAGTTTTTTTAACATGTTACAAACCGCACCCTCACTGATGGGTCACTCTGCAATGAAAGTAAATTTACACATTGGCACTTTGAATTATACCCATGGCCACTTTAATTGAAATAAATCTAGGAGTTAAATAATGTCCACTTCAAATTATTGTACACTAAAAAGATATTTAATAATAGTATACTAAAAAGATATTTAAAATATTTAACAATAAAAAATGCCAGTCCCTATGCGAAAAATAAGATTTTTCAATGTGGTGTCCAACATGTTAATGATTTACTTTGTTGTCTCACAGTCGCTTTCCCCCCAGGAAACCATTATTAAACATAACTGTATATTCACCATGATGCACTGACTGATCTAACTTTAAACTCAGGGGAAAGGGAGTTGTTAGTAATGAGAATTGATGACCCCATTGCTATCAATGTCATATTAAATTGACCTCGAAAAACCCCATCCTGGAAAGCATCTTGGTTAATTCCTAGTGACTTGACCATGATGGGTCTAACCAGACTTCATAGTCATCCTATCATCCTCCAAATGTATACCAATAGTGCAGATGGGTGCACCATACCAAATTCATCAAAAAACATTACATCCTCATCATATCACTCTAAACTCATGCCCACCAGCATAAACCATGAGCGTAGATGGACAAAACATTCCATTATCGTCTTTAAAAAAAACTTATGTTGTCCCACTTCTAGGCAAAGGTAGCTACTATTTATCTCCATATTACATTATATGAATAGCAACAAAAGCTAACCTAAATTTTGTATTAATTTATTTAAAAAATAAGGTTATTAATTTTCACTCACATTCAATCCTGGGTGAAAGCGAGTCGTTCTCTGTGTAGCCAGCATGTGTCCTTCTTGAACAAAGTGGCCATCCTGCACTTTCCAACCTCTACGCTTTGGTTTTACTTTGCAGCTGGTATTTTTTGTACTGCCACCCGTCTTCTTACTTGCATTCCGTACAAATTCTGTAAATTTTAATTTATATTACCAAAATAAACATGTTAAAATGTAAAAGTATGTATTTACATTTATATTCTTAATAATATACCTTTAAGAACAGAAGCACTTTTATTTACACCTACAAGAAAATTGAATGACATTTTAGGCGACAAAAATATTGAATCCGACAACAACAATGTATTATATTAATTAAAATATAATTAATTTCGATTATTCAATAAATTTTGCCGACAAACTAAAATTTAAGTAGTCTTTGACAACTGCTGACTACTGTGTTGACATTTACTGTCTTGCTTTAGAATAGTCGTAATGTCAGATTCACAGAGCACATTACATTCCTAAAAATATATACAATCTATGGCCTTTTTAGCGGGAAGTGAAATAGAGCGGGAATTTTAAATCTGTGACATATTGTTACATTTCTGTATTTTTGTATTAAACATAAAATTTAATTTCAACTTACCCTGAAAAACTGTCCGACTCTGAGAATCTTTGGTTTCTCAATGGACGATGATAAGTGCAACGTTTATAAAATGAATAATTAATTTCTGCAATATCTTGAGGATAGAGGAAATTTAAGTAGGACTAATTTTCACGGGGCCTAGATTAGCTAATATAGCACTGTATAATAAATACTAAAATTAAAGAAATACTGAAATCTAAATGTAGGTATGTAACGTGACCATACGTCCCGTTTTGGACGGAACCCTCCCTTTTGTGGGTTCACCCCTGTTAAACCTGGGACTGGTTGTTAATAATGCGGACTACATTTTTAACAATGTATCATGTCATGTTGACATCCACGCGGTCCTCTATGAAAATTCTCGTTGTCAATTCCTGGTAAAGTTACCACCCTACTGACTTCACTTAATGCTCATTCGATCATCCTACACTATTATTTCACCTTATACCTACCGTCAGCGTAGGCGGATGCACCATTTTATAATCACCCATAAAAATCCTGTAACCATGAAATTGTCCTAGGTAAGAAAAATAATTAGGTCACATCGGTCAATTAAAAAGGATCTCGTCATCTTTCATCATAGTTAACTATTGATGAAATCGTCCCAATTGACAGACAGTTTAGTAACTTATATCGTATTTCATTTTTCTTCCGTCACGGTACCCCGTCATCGTTTATCAATGCAGGCGTGATTACCAATCTAGTATTATTAACAAAAAAAACTACTTATATACATAACTAGATTCTACAATGTAAATATGCAATGCTACAACTCGTTTACATTGTGAAAAACAATTAGTGTTATTTTTGCCAACATATCACACAGACGTGCGCAAGCGCCGATCAGAAATGATCACATTAATATTATTGTTTACAGTGTTATTCGTAGCCTTGATATCATTGATTAATTTACTTATAGACAGATATAAATTGAAAGTAAAAGGACCGTTCCCTTTACCGATAATTGGGAATGCTCACTTGTTTATGGTAAATGCATCAGGTAAATTTATTCTAATTATCTTTGAGTACTTACGTACAGACTTAATTCAAAAACAGACTTACAATATCATTTTATTTAAATTTGGAATACAGAACGGTTAATCGTTTTCTAACATTTTTTAAGTGTGTAAAATTAAATAAATATATTTATGTGAAATTATTAAGAACTATCTTATACATATAAGCAATAAGAAATCGACAATTTTAAGTATTTTAGGTTCTAACGGTATAATATAAGAAATTCATCCATATAATTCTTGAAACTAAGAACTTTAGACCAATTGTGATAACTTTTGAACCTTTCATCTTAAATTAGATCACATGACTTCGTTTTATTCCTATAATGATACAAACTATTCTCTCTAGTCAAGGCACATCTATAAAAAAGGAGAGTGATCGTTATGAAGACAATTTATGTGAAAGAACTTCTTACCTTATTTTTATGACTACTATTGTTTCAGAGTTCTTGAACTTATTTGTGACATATTCGAAAAAATATGGAGACGTTGTATCTATTTATCTTTTATCTGAAAGATACATCATGATGCTGGACCCTAAAAAAATTGAGGTATCTAAACTATTAGCCATAGACAGCCATCTGTAAAGTAGTAATAAATAATAATTAACTTTTATGCATTATTGAAATTATAGATATTAACAATTTTATGCCCGTAAACCGATTTAAGTATAATACCTAAAATATTTGTATACTTTTTCCAAATTTAAACGCATGCTACAAGACTAATACCCTTTCAAATAAAAATCAATCATAAAAAGCCAAATTTACATGTAGGCTTATACCCACATGACTTTATTACCTACAAGATTTTTTTTATTAAAAAAGATATAATTATTTAAAGAATGGTATAATCAGTTTCTCAAATAAAAATCAATCATCAATAGATTTAAATAATTAGCATAAAACGTTACTCCTTTACGTTATTCAACATTTTGTTTTATTATAGATGTATAATTAAGAATTTCAATTTATTTCTGTAGCCTCTACTCGCTAGCACCGACTTAATAACAAAAGGCAGATCATATGAATTCCTAAAGCCGTGGCTGGGTGAAGGTCTTCTCACTGCTAGTGGTAAATATGTCACATAAATACAATTATCATATAATATATTCCTATAATAATAACATTGGCGGCATTAATGGTCTTCATGGTCGTTGGTTCGATTCCTCACACGATACAAACATTTAAACATTTAAATTTATGTACCTATTATAAGCGAAAGTTTAAAAATAAGTACATACATTTGTATTCATTGTATTATTGTTTATTTTGGTCTGACCGTTACTATATATGTACAAAAAATCATATTGAAGTTATTATATAAATTTTTAGTGCCCATAACACAAGCTTTGCTGTTATTTATAGCACTACAGAAGTAGCTAGCATAAAACATAGGCCTTGCATGCTCATGATGATACATTTACATTACAACATTACCGTACTAGGTACACTTATTTATATGTACGTGCACTAATAGGTACCTACTGCAGAATCCGTACCGTTGCAGTAGGAAATACGGCATGATATTGTACGATTTTACTATCGCGTTATAATAAAGAAGACATTCGAATGTCTTTATACGTTTTCTGAATTCCATAATGTATTCTATTATATCCCCCAAGCATATTATACCAATACACAATAGCACGATCTACATCGTATCAAAACATAGGTCAAACGAGACTAAATAAAATTTGTCATATTTTTCACCAATTTTTTAGCAGGATTTTGTAATATCAGTATCCTGGTCACGAGCAGCCCCGTGACCTTGATTTTGATTACGTAACACTATTATTAAACTTTAAAATACACTTTTGCTGTATACGAAGGACTTAGTTATTCTGACGGCTACGATAGTCTATCAATTTAGCATACAGCCTTCATTCCGGTGGTCGCGGGTTCCATGCTTCGAATGGTAGGTACAAAAATTTGTATTCATGAGTATTTAGTCTGGATTTTTCTATGTATACATATTATGTTTGTATTCATAAAAAAATTTCACATTACCATATATTTGCCACACGCGAATGGTATAAGAACCTTAACAATGTTCAATAGTTAGTTTATCTCAGCGCGTTATCAAATTAATATAACTGAATTGTACTTTTCAGACATTATAGTGCCCAATTAGCATAATATTTATAACTTATCTATATACCTATGTATGGTTGTTTTCATTATTATTAATAGGCAAATTAAACTTAGGGCATCCAACTTAATGATATTGAGAAACAATATGTACAAATATATATGAAATATTACAAATTAATAGATAGAATATTTTTATTTGCAATATACAGTAAAGAAAAGACAAATAATGTATTATATTGTACAAGTGTGTAACTACAATAATATGTATATAAGATATCTGAAACATATATAAGATTGATATATATATATATATCAATCTTCCATCTTATATGTTTCAGATATCTAGCAAGCCTTCTAACATACTGGAGGGATGGGGAGGAAGTAGTTTTAGTACTGTAAGCCGAGACCCTAGTAGCACTATCAATGATAGAGTGTGCACGCTGTTCTCCCTGAAAACCATCATAGTTAATTCCTGGTGAATTCCCTACGAACTTCGTCTTCCTCTGATGCTTTGGCAACACTAAAAAAATAACATAGGTACTTACGTCATAGTCAGACATCAAAGTTAACCTTTGACCGACCTCTCTTTCCTGATAAAAAATGTAGAGTAGGTACCTAGTTTCATTTCTGAATTAAAATATATAAGTACTTACTGGTTTTGATAACATTATTGGTCATCATTAAATTGCAATTGGCCTACATGCACCGCTGGAATCCAGCTCGTTAACTGATAGCTTGTGCTTGCTAGTTAATGATATAATTCAACATCGAACCTCGCTTCGAGGGGCACGTCAGGAGTTGGTTAGGTAAACCAATTAGGTTAAGGGATGTTATTTTAAGATTATGTTCTTCCATGTGAATACAACCCATAGATATCAAAAGAAGACATTGAATGCTGAATAGGCAAATAATATTATAGCAGCACCATAGGTACCAAAATATCATTATATTTACTTGAAGCAAAAAATTTGTACCCCATTTTACGAAAAGTATACGTTACGTTTATAAAGTTACAGCGGTGTACATAGTTTATATAGAGATGGAATGCAGAGTGCTAATAATTTTTAAATTCTGCAAAAAAACACATGAAATCAATAAAATCTTTACATTTCACACACAACAATGTATTTTACACACACGCGTATATACTCTTTTCTTTAATTGTTATTACTGGTTCAAAGTTCTTTTCATATTACTTACTAGCTGTTCCCGCGACTTCGTCCGCGTGGGATTTAACTTTATTTTTCTAAAATAAAAGGAGCCTAAGTTACTCCTTATTACACCAGCTATCTGCCAAAAAAAGTCCCCTGAAAATCGGTCCAGCCATTTCAGAGATTAGCCGGAACAAACAGACAAACAGATACACAAAAATTATAAAAAATGTTATTTTAGTGTATGTGCCGTATTTGTATTCATGCATATCGTAAAAAACGGTTATTTTAATATTACAAACTCCAATTTTATTTGTATATATAGATTATAGTCGAATTACGACCACTGGGCAACTACTACCTAATACATAATTGTTTTCTAAATACATTTCATTTAATGATTTATATTTTACAATCGTGTTTACATAATTAATATTTATCTGTTAAAATATTATTGTGCACACACACAGTTTATATAAGTAAATATAAAAACATGGTTGAAGTAGTCATAATGACGACAATTAGTATAAACCTGTTAAATTGACATTGTATAATTGTTATACACATTTGCTTTGGTCGATATTTATAACTTACTCAAATATTATTCTTGTTTAAAATTGCACACGTTTTAATACGTGTAACTATTTATAAAATAAAATAAATTAACTGTATTAAGTACCTATATTCAAGTTGCCGGTAAGAGATTGCTTTAAGTGATAAGGCTGTCCTTTGTTTAGCGCATTTATGTTTCTCATAAAATTAATATAAATCTGTAATTGAATATGACAATAATATATTATTGTCATTATTAAATTTTAATTAAATAATTAATCTTTAAAATGACATAGAAGAGTGCAGTCCCAAACTAGAGTTTTGTACTAGACAACTGTCAAATACGAGGCCAAATGCTGAAAATAGAGTGTAACATATAATACAACACAAGGTCTAATAAAGACAACTGATAGACACATACATTAATTTTAATTTTAAATAATTATGACATCTAATAAATGCCAGACAAAAATAAACAGGCTTACCTATTTACTTATTAATACAAATGTTTGTATCGTACGGTTGTCTAAATATTTATATATGATAAATTCTTTAATCACCAATTACAGACACATATCCAAATGACAGAAGAAACTTACATCAAGCTCGTCGATGAATTTATTTATTAATTTCTCATATATGTTTAAAAGTGGTAAGTAATTGTAGCGTGTATAACAACTGTAAATACAAATCAGGGAATAAACAACTGAAAATCCTTTCAGGAAATATGAAGGTAATTTAGACGAAGCCGCGGGTAACAGCTAGTAAATAATAAAGCTTATATTGTCCAGGTGAGAGATGGAAAACACATCGAAAATTCCTGACACCAACATTGCACTTCAACATCCTGCAGAACTTCTTGCCGGTGTTTTGCAAAAACGAGCGGATCCTGCGCAACAAAGTTAGCAAGCTGGCGGACGGAAGGCACGTTGACTTGTTCCCATTGATTGCTTTGGCTGCCCTCGATAATGTTACTGGTAAGATCATTTGGTTTATAATATTAGTTATAGACAGTATAGGAATACGATTTTATTTACATGGTCGTGCTATTAGCTGACACCATGTTATACCCATCGCAGCTATTTTTTATCTTCAATGTACAAGTATAGGTTTAACTAAGACTTGAAATCAATTTGAACCAGAACGAAGATAATTTTTACATGTTTGCCAGTGTGCTTCTCCTCAACCCACCCTCCGAACTGCAGCTGACTTTCTCTAAGCTTTATACTACTATAAACTTCATACTACAACTTTCTTAACCATCTTAGAAGTATTTGACTGGGAGAATAAAAGCCACTAGCTCGCGGATTATACAATAGGTCTCTTTTAATGTCTCACACAAAACTATTTGAATATTATCTTTGAAACAGATATTGTTTTTTAATGCAATTGTTTTCCTTACAAAATAGGTTAAAAAAATTATTCAGGTTCTGAACACCACTTGAAATTGCATTTGCAATTTAATAAGTTTTATTTTTCTTATTGTTTTCTAATTCTTATATTTTAGGAATTATGTGTCATACTTTAATAATAATTTATCAATTAGATACTAATATAATTATTTAAATTAACATATAATTGCCATTTGATGTACGTTACGTAATATTTTCGATAATTCTAAACCGATTAAGATAATGTTTTTGAATCGACATCGGGATTACCGCCGCTATATTAGTCTTCCTTAATTAGTATCCTTAAACCTACATTATCTTAGTCATTTTATGAAATTAACATTAAGAATACCTATGTTTTATACCGATTGACATTTTCACCATACTAAGTATTTTTATTTATCGCAGGTAGAGTGACTGAGAAGAATTGTATCATATTTTTCGGTTAATAACCTTTATTTACCAAAGAGTATTAGTGTTAAAATCCGTTAATATAGTTATTAATTTTGGTTAATTGTAAAAAAATTAATAGTCTGAAATTTATATATTTCATACTAACTATTATGCTATATTTTTTCCCACGATAATTATTAACCAAAGTCATCCGATATGAATCTACAGGATTTTCTATAACTATGTAATTTGCCAGGCAGATGTCATGCAGTATGACAATTACGTACAGTAATTGCAGTACATTATTCAATGATTACCTACAAAGTATAAAAAAATGTTAATCAATAGACAAGATTATCTACAACATGGCTTTATTAGTTACAATGTCATATGTTTGGTATAACCAGTTTATTGTAAACAAGGTTTTTATAAACCAGAGAGGCAGAGAGGTCAACTGGTGACTTAATTAAACCTTTTGAAAGTGTTATTACAATCTCAGCTAATAGATGATATAAATCCACTGTATTGTACATAAGGAGCGTTACGGTTATAGTTGAGAGTAGGCAGAGTAATTACAAAATAAGAGGCATATCTTAGTCGTCCGAAATGATAACACCTGAGTGGTACACGGGCGTCACGAGATAACGTGATGTACATGGTGCTATTCATAAATATGATAGTCTATGGTTACCACTTACCATCTATGGGAAGATTCCCTTCTTTGCCATACCAATTACGAAATCAGACAGATGAAAAAACATACTAATGCACTTATAATTCGATTCTAATATCATAAAAAACATAATGATAAACATTTATAAATAATCTCAATAATTATAGTTCGTGCGTTATAGAAGTTGCAGATGACAACTGATATTTTATAGTATAAAAGTACTGTATTAAATGTATTTTGTTATGTATCTTATATATAAAATTCGCGTGTCACAAAGTTAGTTAACATACGTTAACTAACATTGTGACCGGCGAATATATATATACTTTTTCGAAAAGTATATACTCCTATATTTTTTATTTTTTATATGCATATTCCGTATGTCTGAGAATCGGCTACTATCTATTTTTCATACCCCTGAGTGATAAGGGTTGTCCCTCCATAACATTTTTTTTAATTTTTTCGTCAATTTTTTTTCTTTGTATAGTATCGTATTAAAAGTACAAACAACGCTAAAAGTTTCATGCTTCTATCTCCAAGCCCTTTTTTAAAGCTATTAAAATTATTAGTACTTATATGCCATAGCAACTTTATCAGGGCAGCTAGTAAGTTTATAATGTAATGTTATCTGTGGTATAAGTTTCCCAGACTCTATTGTTATGTTGAATAAAGGTAAACTTCGTAGATCACCCACGTTTTAGTCATTTGTATGCATGTATACATTCACATTATAATTCTATAATACCTACTACGCGCTGTCTGTATGTAGACATAGGTACCTAATATATATGTATGTATATATAACATCTTGTAGGTCTGCTTGTCCGTATATAGACCTTACCTTAAAAACATCTTATCAATTATAAGTAAGGTAGGATGTTGAGGAAAATATATTTTTTGTGCCCGAGGTTTCACCCGCATGAATGAATTCTCTTTTATAATCTATATATAGCAAATATTGACGTTAGAAATCTAAATTCTTCTTAGCAATTACAAATAATTCGAGGCTGTTATTTATTTCATTTTTCACATCTTTGACATTATATTAATCTTTGATATCATACACATACATACATATATATTCTCATTACATGATTGATTAACTTTTGTAGCAGAGAAAAAGTATAACCAACATCCATTCATCGCGGTTATAATTAGTAAGATTCATTAAAAAAATATTTTTTTACTAAATAATTATGAAATATTATGTTGGAATTGCCAAAGAGATAACAAGTTCAATCCTATACTGTATCTACTAGAGATGATGATAAAATTAATAAATTACGTATGTACCTATATTATTTGTTTGTTATTCATTTATTTACAGAATCAATCATGGCAGTGGCTGTTAATGCGCAGACCGATACGGAATCTAAATATGTTAAAGCTATAGAGAAGTAAGTAGCAGTCATTTATAAAATGAGACCCCATGTTAAACAAATAATAATAATATATATCTGGTATATGTCACAAAGCGTAACAAACCATCAAAAGATGAAAGCAAAATAATAATATTGTAACCCAGAAGAGTTCACACAGCGCCATGTTGTCCGAAGTTAAGCGTAGCTTGTGTTATGTGTACTTGACATCTTATATAAATATTTAAATATTTTTTTGTAAATACAAACATTATACATAGAACCACCCAGACCGATACAAACATTCATACATATAAATACAAATGTTTGTACCGTGCTAGAAATCGAACGCGCGACCGTAAAAAGTAAGACGGTGTGCAAAACCGCTACACCAGGCCGCCTTCCTCGGTGAATGATCTATCGAAAACTTAATGAATTTTCAATACCGGAGATTGCCCCTAACATCCTTCCAGAAACTTTACCTAATACCATATTAGTATTTCTGAAATAAGTAGATTCATGAAGGTCACAACACCACAATGTATTTACATTGTCACTGCTCATTATACCCGCCTGATAATTATGCTGTATTATGAACAATTTGCAATTTACGTCGTCTTTGTCTATATTATCTACTAAACGTTTAATTAAGTCAATTAACACTCTGGCGATTAATGTACTTTTCATTTTGTAAGAACAGGTCTGATTATGTAAAGAAATATTTATTACTAGTTATTCCCGCGACTTCGTCCGCGTGCAATTTAACTTTATTTTTCTAAAATAAAAGATTTTATCTAAAATAAAAGTAGCCTAAGTTACTCCTTCTTACATTAGCTACATGCCAATAAAAGTCCCGTCAAAATCGGTTCAGCCATTTCAGAGATTAGCCTGAACAAACAGACAGACGGACACACAGACATATTCATATGCATGTAGTAAAAAACGGTTATTTCAATATTACAAACAGACACTCCAATTTTATTGATATGTATAGATGTATAGATAAAGTATATAGTGAATATAAAAATCTATTATCGCATGAATATTACAAATAAAGTGTTTTATATGAATGTGAATGGCTATAAAGGCAGAGGATGGCCTATGTACAAGATGATATGGTAAGAAAAGGAGTGAATAACGAGGTGACTGCGAACAGATCTCTGAATGAAAAACAAAAACATATTACGCTGACTTTAAATGGAATGAGGAAAAGGAGATGATTATGATAATTATGATATGAGATCATTGATTTACAAAAAAATAATTAGGCAGGTAGTTTATAAATCCTTTACGGAAATATAAACAAAATAAATATTAGTTTTTCTGAATATATTTCCATATAAAAAATATTTATAATCGTATGGCAAAATACCGTCAAAATCTTAATCAGTAAAAATATTATATCTAATCAGGTAAAAAACTTAGATTCAAAATAGAATTAGTCATAGGTTCTTTACATGAAAGTTAAGTAAATGAGAATCCTTCCTACGCCATAAATATAGGCTACTATGGTACTAGTAAAAAATGATTGAACAATTAATCGATTGAAAAAGGTTAACGTGGTGATTTCACAAAATATAATCAAGATTGTTTCGGCCAATAGAATCGAGAGCCAGCCAATAATTTGGTATCTAGAAAGAAGTAAGTCAGTAATATTTTTATGCCATTAAAATAACTAATTCACTGACATCTTATGTAAAAGTATAGGTAAATCATAGATAAAAGAAATGACTACGTACATATTATCTTAAATAAAAATTGGTTTTTCCAATCTTATTTCTAATTGCATAATGTGAACCTTAATGTGATAGTTAATAGTATATCATCGTTACATAGTATAAAATGAAGTGGCTTCCGCTGTTTGTTCTCTTATATAATTTAAACTGCGCAACAGCCTTTAATGCAGTTTTAGCAATAGATAGAGTTATTGATAAGGGAGGTTCATATGTATAATAGCTGTGTCCGCCATTTCACTTGCATAAAATTTATAGCCTATGTATTATTCTGATATATAACTTGAAAGAGTAACAAACATCCTTCCATCCATCTATCCATTCATACTCACAATCTTTCGTATTAATAATATTAGTAAGGTGTGCACCCGAAGAACGAAGTCAAGGCGGGTAGTTAGTTTTATATATACGTTTTACAACTAGAGAGAAATTTTACAAGTTAAGTAGCTAAGATTAAGTTGTAATAGATTATATTCAAATATTTTTCAGGGTCTCTCAAATAGCATCTACGAGGATGCGAAATGTATTAGCCGGAATTGAGTTCACATTCAAATTGTTACCTATGAAAAAAGAACAAGACAAAGCATTGGGGACACTCCATAAACAGTCAAATAATGTAATTGAGGCCAGACGTCGAGAATTAGAAAAATTAAACACAGTTCGATTGAGCGACTCCTCGGAATTTGGTAAGAAAACAATAGAAACACTAATTTAAATGCCACTGATTGAAGTATTCCTCTCAAATTTTTGAGGTTTTTGTGTATATGAGGGAACATAATAAAATGTGTCTGAGGATTTGTAGGGCAAAAAAAATGAGGTTTGGTACTCATCTATATAACCCTAAAAAATATTTATAATGCAAACCTTTTATTTATGTAATAATAAAGGGACATGTATATATATAGATATGACACGAACAATAATTTTTCAATTGAGCAGCCTAAATGAAAGCCATCGCTTTCGTAACACCAACGAAATATAACAAAATCAAAAACTGTTATAGATCAAACGGCCTAAAAAGGATTATTAGTGGCTTTTTGAGATAATTTGAGGTAATACTTAGAAAGTCATCTGCAAACACTGTTCATTGCATATCAATTTTTGTTTTCTATTATTTTTAATACTTACTGTTACATACAATTAAATTCAAATGATAATGAGACTATGTACATTGTACGATATCTCTAGAAACTCTCCGTTAATTCTTTATACAATTGCTTCATTTAGAACATAATCCTACATAATCCTTTAATCAAAATGACAGTGTATAAAAGAATCAAATAAGTCGAATAAAACAGATTAATTGATTATGTATTGTAATTATCTATGTCTGTCTTATTTTTAGACTATTAATGTCTATAAAAAGGTATGACAAGATTGTTTACAAAAAGGAAATGAAAAACAAAAAGTTACAAAAACAACGAGGCCGATGAAACTAGTTTAAAGTATATTTTAAAATATAATTGATATATCAAAAAATATTAGTTCTATATACATAAAATATGAAACAATGCGCTATCTGGACATGAAAAATATAGGAGAATAACTATTGTTGTAGGTATCAAAAATAAACATGCTTTCTTGGACCTACTACTGCTAGCAGAAGTTAATGGTAAAAGCATAGAAGATGAACATGTCAGAGAGGAGGTTGACACTTTCATGTTTGAGGTACCTATTAAATTATATTAAAATACTTTATTTTTATTAAAATGGAATGGAAAGCAAGCTGACTAGATAAACACCAAAATAATTCATGTGTATCTATATATATATATATAAATAATACGCATATTTATTGCTAATAGTATCAAGCTATCAAGTATCTCTGCTCTTCCCAGGTTGACTGCGAGAGAAATATAAATATAATTTGTATGTATATATATATTTGCTTTATAAAATATGTCTATTGATATATCACTAACTTTGCAGCGATGGGAACACCGATAACAAACAAAATTAATCCAGTGTTAACATTGCTTCGATGTTTCAGACTACTCCCCAATGGGTTCTAGAAGAATAGGTCAACACGCCACCATACCTAAATCAAAATTGCCTCATTGCCTTAAACTAATCATTCTGAGTACCAGTAATTACGATATTAATTCATTCATTCATAAATTTAAGAGCAACTCTTTTGTTGGTGGAGCTCTTGCCACTTTCTACGATCTTCCATCTGCTCTTTAAACCTTGATACGTCACAACTCCAATTCTCTTTCATTTGCTTGAAGTAGCTGTGCCTTGCCTTTCCTCTCCCCCTCTTTTCCTCTATCTTTCCCTTATAATTACTTTCATAAATTCATCGTACCGTATCAAGTATACTAACGTTTTTCCTCGTCTAATTTTATATATTATTAATAAACAGTATAATCTTTTTAGGGACACGATACTACAACGTCTGGTATAGTATTCACCCTCTTCTGTCTATCTAAGTACGCTGACATACAAGACAAACTGTTTGAGGAACAGAAAGAAGTTCTTGGTGGCGATTTGGAGAGGGATCCAACTTATTCGTGAGTGGGAAATGTTACAGTTAAATAATTTAAATTTTGATTCATTGATTAAGTAATAATAAAAATAACCCAGAATAATTCATATAGCGCCATCTAGTGCCAAGCTAAGCATAGCTAATGTTATGGGTACAAATAACTGATATATATAAATACATAAATACCTTTTTCTTGTAAATACATAATATACATATGAAATGACCAGACTAAGACAAATATTCATACTTTTGAATACAAATATTGGTAGGTACTGTGCGAGGAATCGAACCCGTGACCATTGGAAATAAGAATAGAATAGAAAATCATTTATTCAAATAAACTTAATTTAAACACTTTTATATAATATATGTAATAATATATAATAGTCAACATTTTTTTTAAATCTACCGCTTATTCGGAAAGCTCGTCTCGTCACAAGAAGAATAAGCAAGAAACTTGTGTACTAAACCACTGGACCATCAACCAATTATCATCGCTTATTTGACTCAGTTTCAAATTAATGTTTGAAAAAGATAGAATATGTGATAACACGTGATTCCACTATCTTCCTGTTAAATTTCGTAAGATCCTTTCAGCGTTTAGTTTTCAAAAAGGTAGCAAACAGTCAGTCAGATTGACATGTTATCGCATTTATAACATTAGTGTGACTAAGCTCAACCTTATTTTGTTTTACAGGGAACTTCAACAAATGAAATATTTAGAAATGGTCATAAAGGAATCCCTACGGCTGTATCCGCCAGTTCCATTGATTGAAAGATCTATAACTCAAGATAGTGGTAAGTATACGCAAATTATGTATCCAACATTTTTTTTATATCACAATTGTGCCAAAACTATACGGCCCATCTGATGGTAAACGGTTATCGAAACCTATAGATAACTGAAACTCTGAAATATAGACGGAACGAAATATAATTCACCAAGAAACTGTCAAGCGATTTGGCGATAACTGTATATATATAAACGGTACATGTAAAAAACTACATTTTGTTTATTGGTATCTGCCAGATTTGAGCCCATAACCTCTTGGACATTATTCAGGGTAATAAACCACTAGGCATGATGCAATACTATATATAACGAAAATTGTATTGTGTAATTTTAATTGTATTTATTACTTCAAGGAATTATATTTTATTTTGTTTAACTACCATTAGCACATGAGAGACAGAATTAAAGAAAATAAAATCTATAAAATCAATTTAGTAATGAAAATGGACTTAATATACATATTATAGACATAATATACGTAAAATAACACCTAAATCCATAAAATAAAAGTTGTGTCTTTCTTCTTTTACAGATTTAGATGGCCTCAAGTTACCAGCCAATACAGCGGTGATTATAGATATTTTCCATATGCACCGACATCCAGACTTGTACGACGACCCGCTAGAATTCAGACCGGAACGTTTCCACCCTTCAGTACCGAGAAGTGCCTTCAGTTGGTTGCCATTCAGCGCTGGTCCAAGAAATTGTATTGGTAAGCCTCTGCTTCTTCCTTATATATTTATTTGGGGTCGGCGTAATATGTTTTTCTCTTCCGTTTATCCCTGTTCGCAGTCATCTCATTATTTACTCCCTTTATTGGTAACTACTATACCTAATTAGTTACCTTAACATTCATATACTATGAAACGAGATAAGGCCCTCCCTTAACTTTTGACGTTTAAGAACAATTCACGTAGCGCCATCTAGTCCCAAGCTAAGTGAAACTTGTGTTCTGAACACTAAACAACTGATGACTTTATGTAGTCATACATTTCGTATATACATTCGAAACATTCAAAAATAGGTACATAGAAATAAAAAAATCAACAAAGTTTGTCTTTGTATTAAAAAAGTCTTAGAGGGGTCACTAAAATAAAAACAAAATGGATTTTAGGATCTCGTCCACCCTTCATGTTGTGACATCTATTTCACTTTTAGTATTAAAACACGAAACTTTTATTATTAAAATACGACCAGATGAGACAATAAGCGAGGAGGGTAAAAATTACTAAAATCGATGTTATTTAAGTTATGCATTTTTTATATTTTATGTAGTCGCTAGTAGTAATTTTTTGAGGTAATTGATAGTTTATCAAATACCTCAAGAATATATTTAGATTAAAAGTATTGACTTATAATAATAAATGCTTAGGTGTTGTCTATGTCTTCTAAATATTAGATGATATTCTTAATAATTATTTAATATTTACAGGACAAAGATTCGCCATGTTGGAATTGAAAATTACCGTGGCTGGAATAATAAAACATTTCAAGCTGTTGCCCACCGACGAAGAACCGAAATTAACAGCCGACCTTATTCTACGATCAAGCAATGGAGTGAAAATTAAATTTAGTCCAAGAACTTGAGTATTTTATAAACAAAGAGCAATGTACAAATGTACATTAAAAAATGTTAAGATACACATTAATTAATATAATATATAATAAATAAGGGATATATTTTTTATTTTGACCTTAACTTGTCGCTGTACGTGCTGTAAGTATTGTATTCTGTCATAGCATACCAGAATATGCTAAATTAACACGAACTTACTATCATAACTAGACTAGCCAATACATTTCGTTGGTTAACGTTTTCTTCCATAATAAATATTTATATAGTCATTTGCGTGGTACGGAATGGCGGCGAAAATAGGTTCATAGCGGGGGGAAGAGGATTGTTAGTAATGTGGACTGATGATCCCATTGCTAACAATGTACCTCCACGCGGTTCACCCTGGAAACAACACAACAAACGGCTGCATCATTCCATTATCATCCACTAAAAGAAAAAAAAAATAGGTTCACAGCTCGCTATGTAAGTTGTAATCAAATAAAATGTAAAAAGCAATGTACACTGTTAGAGGACGTAGGCAAGGCTTTCAAATCTTCCTAAATGGCAAGGTATGAGAAGTACCATGGGAGTCACATGATGACGTGATGTTTGTGGTGCTGTTGATGTACACAGGCAATGGTAGCCATTTACCATCAGGTGAACTTCAGATATTAGCACTTAAAAAAAAGTGTTTTTTTATGAGTGATTCAATCCATATAGTATTTAAGCAGATTGAACAAAACATCTACCCTTCATGGTTTTACGACATCACTCAATAATCGTATCTAATAGCTTATAAACAGCACATATATTAGGGGCAATGTTATATGAATGTTTAAGCTTCTTCCCTTAATATTTGAAAATATTAAGGGAAGAAGCATCTAAATTATCATCATCATCATCATTACATGGTAAAAAAAAACTGCTGTCGCTATCTGTCCCTATGTATGCTTAAATCTTTAAAACTACGCAACGGATTATGAATCGGTTTTTTAATAGATAGTGTGATTTAAAAGGAAGGTTTATATACATATATAAACCTTCCTCCTTCCTTCCTTACTATATAATAATACATGTACACCCGTGCGAAGCCGGGGCGAGTAGCTAGTTAACAATAAAAAAAACATGTTAGTGACATGACACAGGTCATTCGCAATCCCTAAGGGGGGAAGTTTGAGATATCGGGACAACCTTTGTTTTTACTATATTTTTTTGTATATACATTATATTTTGTGATTTAACTTTTTTTTGGTATTTTATATCATTAACAATATTTTTATTCCTCCAAGTTTAATTTCATGTTATTGAACCCACACTTAAAAAAGTAGATGACACGGTCAATATTTGACATTTTGATTGATATATTGACATTTCGTTGACAATACATCAATTAATATGTCAAATTACTTGAATTGTTAGTAATATGTCAAAATAGGTACATAATATTTTATTACAATCAGTATAACACAGCAAATAATAAATAATACCACGCGGGCACGCAGGCTTTTCTTAAGTTGACAATGTTAAAAAATCACCATTATACACACAAATATTAGTGTACAAATATTACGAATAAAAGAAGCAAATAAACAACGACAAATAAAATCAATTATTACTTTTCTCAAGTGCTGTGCGATATTTAGATTTTGTCGTTTAGAGTAAAAGTAAAATTACTTAAAGAAATGTCGTCGGATACACTGAATGTCGTCAGAAGAAAGCTCAACGAAGCATTAGGTGAAACTTCATCGAAATATTTCAACAATATGAAGCAGTGGTTTCGAATGAAACTCACGAAAGAAGAGTTTGATTCCGAAGCCCGTGCGATGCTGAGTTCAGATCAAGTGCATTACCACAATGAGTTTTTACTCGCTCTTTTGAACAAAGTCGAGGGATTAGCCGAAGCTTCTCTAACGATAGCTCAAGAAAAAGCGAGCTCACATAATAGAAATAGCAGAAGGCATAAAAGAAGTTCTAGAACATCTGAGAAAACTAACTTTGAACAAGCTGATTTATTGGAGTACTTACCGCCTAATTCTCCTCCTGGTGCTGGCAGTGATGGTGTTAAATATGCTTCACAGGTACGCATATAAATATCTATTGTAATGTATACTAGCATTTAGTCTATTGTATTAAGTATACATTGCATGTTATATTACACTGTGTAACATTTAAGGATGGATAGTTTGTACATTGAATATTTTTCGTTTGAACTATCTTGTCTATTTTGTCATACATGGTAATATTTCTGCCATTATAGTCAGGAATATTCTCCACATATTTTCTAGCTGATTGTTACTAAATTTTGTCATTGTTTTAGTGTGTTTGAGTATACATATTGTATCGAGCAATAAACTATAATTCTATATGCTATACAGTCTGGCATTGAGTTACTATGAATCTATGATTATAAAGTGACTATACTACATTTATTATGTACATTGTCATAGGCCTCTACTTTTGAATCAATTTAAATTATTTAAAATTAAGTTTCTGTATGATCATTTTCCCACAAATTCTCTTATGGCATAAACAGAAATAATTAAGTGCCAATATGTCTTCATTAATCCACACATACTTCTTTTACTTGATCAACTGTTAAAACTTTTTAGTTAAATAATTATTTCATTTTCGTTTACAGGAGGTATTCTTACCAGACCATGCCCTCGTAGTTGGCCGTTTCATGCTTGCAGCATGGGAACTAGGTCTTGAAGGAGCTGATGACGAAGCAGCAGATATTATTGTTGTTGCTGTTCAAAACTTTCTTAAAAATGTCATAAGTGCTGTTGTATCACAACGGAAAGGCTACAAGATACGTCATAGACATTTTATGTACGATATTGGTTGTGATATGCCAAATATGTGGCTACGTAATTCTTCAAAGTTGTATGATCCCCAGTTTGAAGGGCGAGTGAATGTTGATGATGGTGCTGATGCACTGGGACCAAGATGTCCCCCTACAATAGATGAAGTAGAACAATCAGCTGCCTTTGAAATTGCTTGCAGGTAAGTACTTTATTTTATTTATGTTCTGATTTTTTTCTTTCTAATTTGTATATTAGGCAACCAAGCTTTCTTCGTCATCTTATTTTTATTATATCATCACTTCTACTAAAGAATATACCTATATATATTTTAGCCCAAATGTGAAGTTAGGTTAAATTTCAGAAACAAATCCTTCTACCCTTTCCAATACCAAAACCCAACTCATTGTCTGGGTAGTACTGCAATGTTGCACGTTTGTATTACAACATAGCAAGTAAGTAATATCTCTAAGTTAAGAAATGAATACATTCATCGTCAGCTCTGACCAAAATTTTCAATTATCTAATGGGTGGTAAAAAGTATATTAATGATTGGTATTTTTTGTTTCAGCGTACCAAACACAGAACCTAATGATGATAGGTTAACTATAGATGAATTATATAATACATTACTAACCCATAAGAATACAATAGCATGTCATTCTGTGTATGCAGTCAATATGGAAAGGTTGGCTCTGATGCTGAATCATCCGAGCTATTGATTTAATAATTAAAATAGTATTATTATAAAGCAAACGTAAACACATGCCATTAGACTTAATTTTAATTAAATAATTGCCTTATTCAATAAAGTCAAATACTGAAAAATCCTATTCTTATAGTATTTGTCCTCTTTTATTCTTTTCTCTGAACTATTTTACTATTTATATTTAAAAAGTGAAAGTTATAATAAACCTGTATTAATCTATTGAAGTGTTCATATTTTTCTTCAAACTGAAATAATTAAAATGACTTTGTAAGATGTTTTAATTTTAATAAAGAAGGTGGTAACTGAATTTGTAATAACTAGGAATTCTCTTCATTATTATGTAAATACAATTTTTTATATAAATGTTTGTATTTTTTATTAATCATTAATAGACTCACTGAAATGTATTTTAAAAATGGTTATTCTATTATAATAATAACAATAAAAATAGTATTGTACTGATTTATAAGCTCCATTTATCTAAATTAAAACATAATAATATACATACATTAATTAAAAAACCACACAACATTCAATAAGTCAATTATTCAGTGGGTTCATATACTGTGGTTGTATTTACACTATACTTCAGGTATTTGAATACTTTTTAATCCTGTGACGGTGACGACGCAGGCTCAGAAGGTGACTGGACAGTAACACGAGGTAATCTCTGTACCGACTGCGGAGACCGTTGCGGTGTTCTCTGCGGGGACACCCGTCTCGAGCCAATCTCCTGCACCTCAATCGACTCTTCGCGGGGAGGGCTGCCCAAGAACCTCCTCTTCTTCCACGCGAGGATTCCAAGCAAGCAGAGAATCACGGCGATCACTACAGCTCCAAATACGATGCCAGTCACCGATGCTGTTGACAGTGTATACAGTCCTAGGAAGATTTATGGTTCAATATACGTTTTACACAAAATATTCCATAACCAATATTAGTACTAAACATGCTTACTGTACTATATTAATTAACAAAATCCAACGGCGCGTTTGTTTGTATGTTCGCTATTAGAAGTGTAGTGCAGGTTAAATTTTGGAATACTGATCAATGAAGTGACAGTATCGAGAACAAAGTATAGCAGATATAATACTCTGACAATAAATAAAAGTGAAGGTTGGTTTATTGAAAAACAGACTTAAAATTTTACTTCTAAATTTTATTATGAACTTTGTGATATATATAATGTTTAAGCGATTTTATATATTAAGGAATCGCCGTTTATCATTAAAGTCGTATAAACAACTTTCATCAAAAAACAAAATGAAAATATATTTCGATCTTTACATACTAATTAGATCCCGAAAATGCGCAGTTTAAATAGAAAATGTTCATCTTTTAAATCCGTCAAAACAATGTTATTCCTATAAAATGTTCATAGCATTATGTACGAGAATGTCTGTACCATATTTTGTTGGTCAGTAAAACGTAAATACCTTTCACCTCGAGCGTGATGGTGTCAATGTACTCTTTGCCATCGTCAAGCCCGGCTCCACAGGTCCACGGACCCACATCCTCATACTTCACTTTTCGTATAGTTACTGCGCAGTCTCCACGGTCGATACTTCTGTTTAGTGGATAGTAATATTTACCCAGAATTGCACTGAAAATAATTAAATAAAAAATGTTAAAGTATATATACATATAATAAACAATTTTTCATATATCATCTATTTAAAAAGTTACTAGGATACTGAACATACCTAGGTACTTGAGAATGTTTGTATTATCATAAATAAATGTAATACCTAAGCAATGCTCTATGTATATCGGAATGGGATAAAATATAGAAAGTACATATCTATAATATGTATACAATTCAGTTACAAAAGAATAACACTATAAACAGTATCATTTTAAAAGTATTTATCTACTTCCTACTGTTTGGTACAAATCCATCTATTTTATGCATTATACATGAAACTACAATATTTACCGAATATAGGTAAGCAGTAAAATCCTCTATTTTTCCAGTCGACTAAAATAAGTAAAAAAATTCAACAGAGAGAAGAATTGAAGAATAAATACGTACGTACTTAGAAATATTAACAGCTGAATTAATACTGAAGGCAACCCCATTCGGAGGCTCGAAGCGGCAATATACCAATGATCTCATTCCCTCAGTTGTAGCACATTGCAAGGTTACTTCTCTTCCGTGGAACACTGTTATATTTTGCTTTATGGCGGCCACTCGGTTCACTATTCTTACTAATATCTTCTTCGTCATTTCCACGCCAATGGCTGTTTTGCCTATATGACATTTCCATTCGCCAATATCTTTATTAGTTACACTTATTTTAGTTGAGCAACGTCCCAATTGAAGTTCAGCGCCTTTAAAGCTAAAAATAATGAATATTTTACTAGCAGAGCCTTTTCAAAACCGACTAAATAGATATAAAAATATTTCTAGAACTGTACCACCTGTAAGATTTAATAGTGAATAACCTATGAATCTACTTACAAAAAAATATCAAAATCGGTCGAGCTGTATCAGAGCCACCTACAAACATTTTATTACAAAGTAATCCGAAGCATCCGGGCTGGGGAAGCTAGTATACTTTGCAATAAGACGATAGATGTGAGATAATAAGATATATCATAGGAATAAGAAATTATTTTTTGGTAGGTCAATTTATTATTAGTTTTATATATAATTGACCCCATTACTATCAATGAACTCTGAAGTCGAATTCCGAATAGTTCCTCTTTAATTCATAATACCTGCTAAATTTATTATGATAAGCTAACTAACTTGATTTTATATCAATTCATCCGTTACAAAGAAGAAACTGAATCACAATAAAAAAACCTAATACCTATTAACCAGGCGTTTATTATGCTAAAAAAAGGCTACTTACGAATATCTTGTACCACTAGGATGCACAAATCCACAATACGATATGGGCACATTGGTCTTGCATTCAATATTAACCTTCTCGTTTTCTAATGCAAGTATAGTTTCTACACCATCCACATCGAATACCCTGTATGCTTTAAAGATGTTAAAAATTAAAATCCTTATTTACTTATTCACAATAACTGTACAAACCAAAATAAAAAGCACGTACCGTAAACATTTAATGTGTTATCACATAATATATGTATTAATGTAAATGCAATCAAATTTCGGTAATACATTGTATTTATTATCTTACAGTGGACCGGTGACACCAGTATAACACTGCCGGCCGCAACAAACTACCCTCTAATAACGGCGATAACAGCAGTGTCAATAGGTCCTTATTTTACGGTGGGTTCTCGATAAGAACGAGACATGCTTACCTATCAAACTACAAAATAAATAGTATAATTGCACTTAATGTGTTCCATATCTAATAAAACAACATGTTATTATTTATGGCCTGTATGGTATAGCGGTCGCTATTCCTGTCACAGTACAAACATTTGTATTTGGGTGTATGATTGTATGTATTGGTCTCGGCGTTTTCTATCTAGTTATATATTTACAAACAAAAATGTATCTAAATATTTTCAGTGGTCTAGTACCCATAAGACAAGTTCTGTTTATCTTGAGACTAGATTGCGCTTTGTGAATGGTCTTGGGATTATTGTTATTATTATTATGTGTGTATTTTTTTACGAATGATAAAAATATTCAATATTTTTTGTATATAAAAAAACTATCAGGGTTGAATAAAACAATACGAATCACTTAAATCAGTAGCAATGTAGAAATGCAGTACCTAGTTGCGATCGCTTATTGTTAGTCAGTCAGTTGATAAATATTCCTCCTGATTTTGTGTCTAAACATTACAGTTTTGGAATAATTTTCGGACAATATTTAACAAAAGTGTTGTTGTATCTATTATTAGTACAATTGAATGTAAATAATCTAAATGAATTAACGTTTGTTACTATAGATAGATACATAAGCTCGTTTAGATAAGTACCCACAAGTTCCGGCGTCAAGTAATTGGTTAACAATTAAACTTGTAACAAATATTGACTATAGATAGCGATCATGAAAAATAAAAAATAACTTTTATGTAATCTTTTCTTTTATACCTAGTTACGCTTACGTGCATTGCCCAAGTTTCACCTTCGAAGACCGTTTAACCACGTTTAGCAGGAGACCTGAACCACATTACTTCCAGTTCCAAAACTACTTTGTAGATAAAATCTGCAATGTTACGTATGCATTTTTAAGGATTTGGACCTTGAGGTTAGAATTGGAAATATAAGCATTTTACTCTAGATTTTTAGCTTATTACGCTAATAATGTATCCATGTCTAGGTGAATTATAGACTTTTAGATATACCTAAGTATTTGTCCAGAGTCATGTATATATAAGCGCTAGAAAACAAACGGACATAAATCATTTTTCCGCTTTATATTATTAGTAGGAAGATACATTTTCAGACCCAATTAAAGACCTTAGAAAAACTTTGCTGTTGGTTCTAATTGTCTCTGTGTTAATGTGAATTCAACCTAAGTATCAAGGAGTAAATAGACAACTAAAAATTGTTTCGTCTGTTCTTAGCCTAAAATGGTTAGGAAATATTGTAACTATTATATGACCGGCAATTTGATGACCTTTGATCTGTACGTAAGCAGTTCCAAATGGTACTATTCTCATTATAACGTAATAATAATCATAAAAAGGTCAAGACTGATAAAACATTTTTTGTTCGAAAAGTAATTATCATAGGTACTTTATTATATTGATAAGCACCAAAATCTATATTTAAATATTCTAATTCAGATTCATTGTAACATAATAATATATTGTAAAATTGTTGCTTTCTATATTGTAGAAAAGCCGTCTGAGTAATTTCGTCTGACAATTTTAGTAGTATATAAGTGGTTAGCGCAACTACTAGCGAATATTTTTATAACTGTATAGCAAACAAGCTGTCGATCTGATGACGCGGTAACCGTCGCCTATACACATGAATAGCTCTGTGGTCACATTACGATGTGACAGATAAAATATCGCACACTTATAGTTTGTATAGAGGTGTAGATTACTATTTTTTTTTAATTATACATTACATCAATAAAAATAATTACATACACTACCTTTTGTTTGACAAACACGCATATGTACTCTTTTTTTATTGTTAAAGTCTGGGCGACACACTAATACATATTGTATCTGTTGTTCCGTTTTATACTAATATCTGAATTAAACGCTCTTTATAACGAGTTGAGACAATTTATTTCACATTCATACATCTTTCATAATTATAACTATACAACATAATTTACACTATTTATATCATTTCCTTCTATTTCTATTGATTTTCTTTTTACTTCTGTCTGCTTTTGTGTCCGTGGACAGTTCTTGTTGTAATTTCTTCAACATTTGTGGTGTTATTAAGCCCTGGAGACAAATATTTTAATTTTAACAAAATGTTTGACTATTCATGATATGAGCTATAGTTGTAAATTATTCCATGTTATTTATAGTAATAAAATTAATTTCTTATTGTAGTAAAACGATAGTTATTCCTGTGGCCTGGAGCGGGAATGCAACAACTATATATTAAAAGTCTAATAACCAAGAGTCACAAACAAGTCAAAGTAACATATACAAAAAGAGGTATCAATATAAAAAAAATGGCAAATAATCTGCCCAACAACCCCAAATGGAATAATCAAAGACATTTTTTAGTTGTTAATGGAATAATGCATCCTCCTGCGCTAATGGTACACAGTGTCAGATTATAAAATGATCATGAAGTCAAGTCTGTTAGGCCATTGTGGCGAATTCAATATAGTAACCAAGTTGGTTTCTAGGGGAAACCGCGAAGTCAAATTGAAATGGTTTGCTAACAATAAGGCCTTTTAAAACATATTTAAGCACTGCTGAGTTCAATACTAGATGACGCTGTGTGAAATATCTATTTTCTATTTTTTCTAGAAATTATACAGCTTATTTAGTATTACATTATTAATAACTAGCTACTCGCCCCGGTTTCGCCCGGGGGTACGTATTATATATATAAACCTCCCTCTAAGATCACTCTATCTATTTTAAAAAACTCGCTTCAAAATCCGTTGCGTAGTTTTAAAGATTTAAACATACATAGGAACAAACAGCGACAGCGACTTTGTTTTATACTATGTAAGCCAATAATAGATACTTCATAAATTTTTCAATACGTGTGAGCAGAGTGACATTATCAGTTACATTAAATTTTACAATATAAAATATAACAATGTTATGTGTAACAAAAAACAAACTAGATCATTTCATTATACAGTTAATGCAGTTAAACAGGTATGCATTACTACTATTACATATTTATTATTATTTTTATTCATTATTATTATTACATACCCTGGCAACGAGCATTTCGGACAATTTGCCCTTAGAGTCATCACCTCTGGTCTGCATATATTTTAGAGTCTTCTTATTCACACTTGACTCTGCAGTATCGGGATCTTCTCGGAATGCTTGTTCTGAATTACGCAATAACCTGTGAAAGAAACAAAAACTATTATATTTCTATCCATATATAAATAAATGCTACCCCACGGGAACTTCGCCTTTGTTTTTCGTTGATGATATGCTCCTATTGGTAACGGCTTTAAATGCACTATATATAGCCTTTAGCCTTTAACGTTTAACATATAGGTAGCCTTTTTCGATGAATGAGCTATGCAACATTAAAATAATATTTCAATTCGCACCGCTAGTCTGAGAATAGTGCGTTTAAAAAAAACAAACTTTTCAGCTTTATAATATTAGCATAGACGTCTAGTAATGCGTAATGCTATTTAATTAAATAATTTAATAACCCAGAACAACAAATTAATATGACTAAAGGATAAGAATAGAGTAGTAGCAGTAGTGTAGCAAGAAAGAGAAAAAAGATTATATGGCTCATCGCAGCTTGCCTATAGTATTGACACTACTTGACGAATATGTACAGAAATTATAACAAAAAATAAGTATATAAAACTACAATATATTGTAAGTAAATCGTTAATTTTCGATACAATATAGGATATATGTATAATTATTGAGCGGCACCAATTCCTATAAGAGAAAAACAGAATGAAAATACATAAAATCTTATATTACCGAAGATTACTTGTCTGGCAGAGGAAGGAAGCAGCACTCCTTTTTCTAGGTTGTGTGTATTACATAACCTAAAAAAGGAGTGCTGCTTCCTTCTCAATACTCATTTGTAATACTTTTTAAAAAAATATAAAAATAATTACCTGGTTATTTGGAATATTCCTTGTTGAATGATAGCATCTAATTCAGTCTCCATATCGCGCACCAACTTTATATCCGGGAACATATCCGAAAACCGGTAACTGCAAAAATTAAAACAATATGTTAAATGACTGAGTATCACCGAGTTTCTACAATAGAATTCGTTACTAAAGTTTTAAAAAAATAACTACTTTCAAATCATATTGACGGCCACGTTGGTCTAGCCGTTTAGCACACCGCTTTACTTCGCTGATACGATTACTCGCATGGTACAAACATTTGTATACACATGAATGTTTTCATCTGGGTGTTTTCTATATATATTATGTATATATGTATTTACAAAAAAAAATATCTATGTATTTATATCAGTTGTATCAATAACACAAGATGGCGTTCTGTGACTTCTACTTAGATATTATTATTAAATTACAACACGTCATTAAAAAGTTATTTAATATCTCTGTACTAATTTCGTCGTCATATATTATATATTTATGCTTATTGTTCATGTCAATGTTTTTTCAAGCTTTTCTCTTATGATTTAAACCATATCACACCTTATAAATCAAATTAACACAAAATTTAATTATTTTAGAAAATACACTTTACATGATTAAATTTAAGAGTAAATTTTACAAAATTTATAATCTTATAGATAATAATAATCATGCAACATGAATAAAATAAGACACATATAACAATTACCTCAACCACAAATACAACTCGAGCACGTCGAACACTGACTCGAGATGTACCAGATCCATGATAGTCTTCGGCGCAGGCATCGGCCACTCCACCGCGTTACTTATCCAATTCTTAGTGATTGGCTCGTTACGACTGTACTGTCGCACCATCTATAGAAATAAGACAAAAATAATTGTTGATTGTTCAGTACAGAATTTTACTAATATTATAAACGCCAAAGTATGGATGGATGGAAAGATGTTCGTTACTCTTTCATATCATAAGTCTGTAATAGACCTACATGAATAAAGGTATTTTGATGTGATTTCATTTGATTTCTACATGCAAAGAATTTCTGAACTTGCCTTAAGGAAGGTCGCGCAAACGAACGGCAGCTTGTTATTGATGGGTGCGCAACAGAATACGTAACGGGCCCGCAACGGCAACGGCACGTGCTGAATCATCTCGGCCAGAAATTTGAATGCTTCGGTATTACACATGAAGTATAGCGAGTCATCCACTGTGCATAAGTGAACAAATATATCCTGAAATAAAATGGGCTTTATCAGGCTCTTGTTTGTCTTATGGCTAATTGTCGTTTACTTTGAGAGTAGTGAAATTTTATGTAGAAATTTAAATAAAATTACGATGTCTCTTGTCGACGATAGTTATGACGACTAATTGAAATATAATAATAACAATAATCTCAGGACAATTCACACAGCGCCATCTAGACCCAAGTTAAACTAGTTAAAGCATGTGTTATGGGCACTAGACAAATGATACAAATACATGTTTTATATTTCGTTAATACATACATATTACACATAGAAACTCAATACAAACAATCATACTCATGTATACAAAAGTTTGTGCCGTGCGAGGAATCAAACTCGCGACCATCGAAAATAAGGCGGTGTGCTACACCGTTAAACCACCTAGGCATACATACCCAGATATAGCTATGTTCTCGTATAAATCATCCAGAAGTATTACATTTAAACAGTATGTCAATCTTTTAATTAAAAAAAAATCGAAACTAATAATATATTTAAAATTTTGCTTATAATTATTTGTAAAGTTCTTTTCTATGAAATTGGAGTGTCAAACAAATAAGCGGTCCGCCTGATTGTAAATAGTAACCGTTACTTATATACGTGACAACAACCGAGGAAAATCATCGTGTCACAGGTTTCGTGTTTATATTCCTCCGAGTTTTATGAAATTTTATATGTATACTCAGGTCTGAGAATAGGTTAATAACTATTTTTTATACCCCTAAGTTTTCCCCTGAGGAGGCCTCACCTCAAAATATGTTTTTCACTTTTTCGAAAAAATTTTACTTTCTTTTTTCTTATGTGGCATTAGAAAATACATACAACCCTATGTTTTCACCCTTCTACCATCAACCACTATTTTTTAATAGCGATTTAATTTTATGTAGCAAAACTACGTTTGTGGGTATAATATATTAATCACATTTCTTTTTTTGCCAAATGTTTATTATATGTCACACTTACCATAAGGCTACTAAGACTAGCGTGTGGCAAATGGTATGCATACAACTCCATTTGTTCTGCTGTGGGATGCAAACCAGCTTGTAACACAGGGTCAGGTGATTTTGACAGCAATGTCTTGAGGGTTGCCAGATCTTCAGATTTAAAGGTTGTAACATAGCCAGTCTCCCAAGCGCTGCCGTATCGGCCCGCTCGACCTGTTCAATATATTGAATACTAGATGAGTTAACGATTTCATTTGTCTTTTTCCTCTATAAACTGATAAAACAAAACAAAATTTAAGAAGAGAAGCTTATAACCAATATATTAGTAATCTCTTTACTTTAGCTGGTCGCGAGTTCAATTACTCGGACGATGCAAACATTTGTATTCAGATGAGTATGATCTGGGTGTTTTCTATGTATATTAAGTGCGTATTTACAAAAAGAAAATATTGAAGTTTTTCCATCAATTGTCTAATAGCCATAACACAAGCTCTACTTATATTAGGGCTAGATGGCGCTGTGCGAATTGTTCTGGGTTATTATATTATAAAGTCGCACAGAAATCGGATAAGCTGTTTTTATTAAGTTGTATGCAAACAACTAACAGATAATAGACATAATAGACAAAGATCTATAGAAAATGCGCAAGAATATAGAATAAGAGGCCTGTTACAAATTGATACATTCTTTCTGGGATTGGTATAACCACATTGTGAGTAATATTACCATGTCCAACAGGTTTTCATTGTCCAATTCTTCACTGATGCCCCGCGAGCATATACCATTAGGGCAGGTGGGTTCTTATTCCGTATTTATACTTTGAATAAAAAACATATTATGCTGCTTTTTCTAAAACTATTCAATTACCTGCAATTTGTAAAGCTTGCGATATACTAATGACATCCATTTCTTTGTCACCATCCTCATTAACTATAGGTTTAATCAATGAGTAGAAAATTACTCTGCGGATGCTCCTGTAATTGTAATTTTAAATAATTAAGATAATAATTGAACTTGATTCACACAGCATCATCTGGTAGACCATTAGAAGTAATGAGATGGCAAAAACTAAAAAAGTATACCCAAGTCTAACAGTACTTCTTAAGTTAGGTTAAAGTATTTTAATTTTATTACTGTTAATTTTTTTAAGTATCCCGCCCTAGGAGGTTTAAATCCAGCGGCCCAGGGTTATTGCCTCCAAAGATGATATCGGGGCAAGGGGTTCGCCCCTAGATCCCAACCTTCACCCCTAAGGGTTGACGTTGATCAGTGTGTGTGTGTGCAGGTAATTTATACCTGATAAATAGAGTTAAGTGATGACATTTCCGTATATAAGATGAGAATATACAGGATTGAACGGATCTTAATTAAATTAGACATAAAGATACATTGAATAATAAGGACGGACATAGGCTATTACTTATTTTTAATAAAGAGCAGACAAAATCAGAAATAACAGATAGTACACAATAAAGTTGAAAAATTTGTTTAAAACAGCGATAGGCAAATTTCTAGCTCTTCTAAACTTGAATTAATCCATTTCAAATGAGTGGTTAATAAAAACAAATTATTGAAAGATGCTTATTTTAAAGTTAATGAAATGAAAAAGACTATTTTTATTCTAATAAATAGATTTTTTACTTACAAATTAATACCAAGACCAATGGCATCTGTAGCAACCATCACTTTGCAGGAACTTTCAGGGTCATTAAACTTATTGGCCTGTGCTAATTTAGTTCCAGGCGGTAAACTACCATATATAACAGCTACTTCGTGACCCCTAAAACAATTATCTTCATTGGGAAGTGCATCTATATAAAATGGTATTGTAAGAACAAATTGCTTGGTTTTTAGAACGGTACAAAAGCTTTACTAAATTCTTTATCGGCAGGTCATTTGTTTATATTCATTGTGTTAGACAATTCATAATATACAATGAGGCAAGAAATTTATGTAGACCAAATATCCTTACACGGAAAGACTTTGTATACTGTGCAAAAAATACAGGGCGCAATAAATTAAATTCAATAGATTTATATGAATGAAACTTTTTTCTTTATTTTTTTTTAATTCAAAGATAGGTACAATGATGAATAACTATTTCATATACAATTCTCAGAATTAGTTTTATTAAAAAATGCTATGACATTTTATTACCAATTAACAAAAAATATGTAATAATTTTCCGTATGTTTTAAAGCCACAATCGCCATACTTGCGATAACAAATTCATTTGTGTATAGAGCGATATTGGAAGATACATACGCGTTATACACAACATGGAAAGTGGAACTATTTACTGTATTTTTAGAGAAAATTCAAATCATTTAGTATTACATAACTACTACTACATATAGTGAAACGACGATTATTAGATTATAATTATAGTTTAATTATGTGTAGTTTCAGTACTAGAATTTTCTCCCGATGGTAAAAAAGTCATTCCGTATATTGAAACACTGCCCAAAATATATCATTACATTTCTAACATTGGATACCTGCCTCAAGATAAGACTGACCTCTGTTCTATAGCTCGACTTACACTGTAAATGTCATTTTTATTAAAACAAACTATACAATCTCCGGGCTTTACATTATCTAGGGAACCAAGTGCAGAATCTTCAACTTTCAGTTGCGTCAGTCTTTTGTATGTTTTTACCTGAAATAGAAGCAATAACATAATATGAATACTATTAAATACTATTATTAATTACATAAGAAGACTGTATTACTACTAGCTTGGTTAAGACATTTACCTTGGTAAATATTCGGTAAAGGTACAAAACACATATTTTTATATTATAAAGAGGTAAAATTTGTATAGAAGAAAAAAAAAAGAAGAAAGCTATATGCTATAGAACATAATCAAACAGAGCATGCATATGATGAAAATGTTGCAAAAAAAAGTGGCGTAGACCAAATTCTACTAATACCATAGAAATGAAAATGAGTTTGTTAGTTACTAATATACATATTATACCATATCTATATATTCATGTGGAATAAAAAATATGTTTGTTTATATAGGTACCTAAAATATATAATGTCAAACTGTATGAATGATTTACCTCCATTTCTACGCCTGTGGTGTTACAAATTTCTTCTACAAGGTTTATAGCTCCAGCTTCACCACATAAATGAATTTCTTCCGCTTGAAGACCTAATTGAAAATACTAATAACAGTATAACCAGTATCAACATTTTCATAATCTTAAATATAATACCCACATATTGCTAAATTGTCTTATTTTTGTATACAGTATCAAACTTATAAATTCTGTTAATGTTTCTATATAATTTTAAATTACACAGTTAATCAGGAACAGGTAGGCGTTTTTTTACAACTTTTAAAGCCACCAGCAATTTTTTAACAATAAAATATTAACAGTTGGGTGTAAACATGGAATATTAGTATATTTAACAGAAATGCATATCACAAAGTATTATTTTAGTTAAAACTTGTTTTTAAATCTCAATTGTTTTCTTACTACCAGTGTTATCATTATCATTATCTATTGCTGAGTAGTCACATGCATTGCAACTAAGTAATGTTTTAATGATATAAATTAAATTACAAATAAATTAAGAAAAAATTACACCTATAAGATAGACTTAAGTGTTACCTAATATAGCTCTTGTCCAAGCCCACCCTCTGCCTCTGTCACCAATCATTTGAATTTCATCTATAATAGCAACCTCATCTGTAAAAAATGCATTAACAATATAGATTATTAAATATGTTGGACTAATAGATTTATGATGAGTATCAGATAAACTCTTAAGGTCCTTACTAATTGGCAAGTTTGTCATATATTACTATACTATATATAAAGACCTAACACACACTTTTAATTCAAAGAATTTCTATTTATGTATTTTACACACTAAAATGTTATGAAGATTAATTATCAATCCCGGCTCTGATCTAACAATGAATAACCTTTTAAAAATAATATTAACATTTATCATTCACATTATCTTGCTTCAGGATACACAGAACTAAGGGTTAACAATATGTCCTATTACATTTACTCAAACAAGCAATGTAATGTAAGTAGTAAGAATAAGGAAATATTTGTTTCATTATGTAAAACTGATAATAGCATGATAAAATGTGACATTCTAAAACAACTGCTACACATTTCTATTATCCATAATAATTATCATACATTAATACATTCATTTAAGTATATTTCTGTTACATTTCCTCTCTTTGTTACCTTTACATAACTAAACAGAGGTATAAATCATAATAATAAATTAGATATAAAGATGGATTGTATGAAAAGGCCAAAATATATTTTTAATGCTAATAGATATATTAGTTAACAAAAAGGCAGATTTACTGCAGTATAAATATTTTCCTATAGAATTCTTACTCACAAATATGATTGAGTGATGTCATTTCAACTGTACAGGCAGTGTGACTAGACGGTGTTAATTCAGATTCATCCTGAATTAAAGATTTATTCTCATCATTCTCATGTATATTGTTTGTATCTTCTAAATTGTCAATCATATTATATTGAGATGCATGCCTTCTCTCCTCTCCTGTGATTAGATCACATGGGGTACCCTGAAAATTCATTACAAATTGATTGTGTATAAAACAACATATTAGTATAAAATAACATAGTAAGATAAATGATGAGTGATTAGTTTCCCTGATGTGATCTCTCCTCAAATGTTCTTAAAATAATAATTATGGTCATAATTTTTAAAAATAAAGCTATATAAACAATTCAAATGTAATACAACAACAACTAGTAAAAATGTATGAGATAGAACTATTAATGAATGTTTTCATTATATACAAATATACATCTCATTACATTAATTATTAATGGACTACATTAACAGTAAATATTAAGTTAAATTTACATGTAATTTGAATATATAAAGCAGTGCTTTTGAACTTCTTGGACTAATTATATACTTGAAAAGTTTTAAATATTACCTTTTTATTCGATTTATGATAAATTTCAGTTGCTAATAATTTCAAAGGGCCACAATAAACTCCTGATTTGGCAGTTAAAAACCTTTCCATAGCATGGTATGTTTTTCCAGAATTTGTAGGCCCTGCATGGAATATAATTTTTCTGTTCATACTACGAGCCTGAGTATACCTAAAATAAAAAGTTAATGAAGTATGCTATTCTAGAGTTTTATTGAATTAAATACAAAAATATAAAATAACATTTTACATTTTCTTGTAAGAAAATTATATCTACATTCACACTCACCAATTGGCTGGTGTTCTTAAATCTGATATTTTCTTTAAGTCATCCAAACAATCTAAATGAGGGAATGCTAATCTTGCATGACGGAGAAAATATGGAAACAAGTCGTCAACATGTCCAGCACCTGAAATTAGAGTTTATAACTAAACTATGACAAACAACAATAAAAGTTCCATAGAAATTAATTATTTAATTAATTAATTAAAAAATTTTAGGCTGTCTTAATAAGCGTAAGCATTTAAATGTTTAGCATTATAAATACGATTGTACCTTGTAAAATATCGCTAATAGTTATATGTAAATCTGGGGGCAAATCGTGTTCTAAACAATGTCTTCTAAAGGACAAAAATGCCTGATGTAACAACTGGTCGTCTAATCCGTTATCAGATGCCAATACACGTATCTCCGGTTTCTGGTAAAATCTGTTTAAAATCTTTAGCAAGTCCTGCTTCTTCAAACGGCCTGTAAATTCTTCTCCTATATTTATGTCATCAGGATTCGGCTTAACGGGTACTGGAGTAAAAAGGGCAGACGGATTCCCTCGATCATGTTTCTTGGTTCTCATAAAAATATAACCTATACCACCTAATTCATTTTTACGGGCACACAGAACGTTATTTCTAAGAAAAGGAGAAACACAATTTTGTAAACGTTCAGTGTTAGTGAATATTCGTGTAAATCCTTTATACATTTTGAAAAATTGTAAATAAAGGAAACTGAAATTTTACTTCACATTGCATTTCATTGCAATTTGCCCTTAAAAAATTGACAATGACAATTTTGACAACTAGAAAATGTGTTAAAAGTCCAACTGCAAAGTAAATGACATTTCGGGGTTGACAGTAAACCTATGAGAATCTCTTACACATATTTTTAATTTTTATGTATATTTGCTAACTACAGTATAAATACATGTTTGAATTATCTGCAATCCAAAATATTATTAATTGATGTACAAAGGTCAAAAATATTAATGGAATATGTTGGGTAACAAAAATAATTCGAATAATTGGGACTTGCAATTCATCCGGGGCACATTTTACCTTGGTGCATTTTATTCTTAAAACTTTTGACTGTTTCTGTGTGCTGAGACGGCCTTATAAAGTATTTTCTAATGAAACCGTTTTTCTATTGTAAAACTTTTCATACCATTATATTTACTTTTTATGACGCTAATACTTGTCACAGTGAAAATTAGACTTACTAAACTTGACATATTTGACAAATCAATTTGACATAAGTGACTTCAAGTCTTGGATTTAACTTCAATTTTCCCTTTCTGTGACGTGCCGAATGTGAAATAAGGACGAACACGAATACTTGATCGTTTTCGGCTCTTTTATTACAGTGAATTGATTACGTTTCACATGATAGAAATTACTAAATATACCGAAACTGAACACTATATTATAGGAATTGTGACTTAATATCGATTCGTAGATAACATGGGAAAAGCTAAAAAGGGTAAGAAAAATCCCAGTGCGGATGATGGGTAAGTTTGAGTGTTACATATGTTTCCAGAGTTCATTGCTAATGTGTATGATTTGTCTGTGTGTAATAAAGATATATATATTTCAGCGATAGTGATGTAGAAACAACAAACATTGACAGCGTGAAGCCGGCCCAAAAGGGTAAAAAGTGGGTACTTTTTTTACTCAATTTTAGGTTAACTGTCTACTGCATTTTTACCAATCTATATTTATGAATCCACATTAAAATATAATATGATTCATATCAACATTATTGTTGCATCACACTGTGTAATTAATTGTACCATGTTGCACCTGCATTCATTAAAATGAATTTGTCAAAATCTGTTTGTTATAAATACACCTTTACCTTTCACATTACTTTGCTACAAATGTACTTAAAAAGTTTATAGTATGTTGGAGGGAACGGGCCTTTGTTGCATATGCAGATTTACTTAATTCGAAAGCCAGGGCTAAATGTATTAAATTGTACTGTATATTTATGAATAAAAAGACTATTATTATTATTATTAATTTGTTGTATAGCAAATCCTCATATTAGTACAAAAGCAATTACTTTGTGTATGGCATTGGCAATGATTATCTTTATTTTTCATATAGTTTTTTAAGTGACTAAATGAAAATACCTTTTAATGTACATATTGATTGTAATATATTCAAACAATAATAATAAATTATATTCAGTAAACAATATAGGTAATATTTTAAACTTAAATTCAAGTTATCAAACTCATTTAATTTTTTAGTAGTTTATTATTACCCATGCAAAATTATTTATATATCATTGATTAAATATAAGCTGCACCAATTATATAAACATGAAAACTATTGAAGCTGTCAACCCATAATGTTATTTAAATTTTTAGAATTCCTGTAGAATCAGATGAGAGTGAAAGTGAGAAACCAAAAGCAAAAGCGAAACATAAGAAATCCATAGATGAGGATGTTAAGGAAGTCACAAAGAATATTAAGAATGTGTCAATTTCAAATAAGTCTCAAAAGAAGAAAGATATTAGTAGTGAAGGTACATTCTCATATATTTTGATTTCATTGAATTACATGTTATTTTGTGGAAGTCCATTTCACTACTTAATGAAATTATGTTATTGTATTTAATTCCACTCACCGCCTTCATTCACTCACTTCACTGACCGAATGGTCAGAATTTTATCACTATTAGAGAAGGTCAATACAGAAGTCAAGTTTCCGGAAAGTTTAATGGAATTAAACAAAATGATATAAATTCATTAAGTAAATAGAAATATTTCTTTCACAACTTATAAATGAATATATTATTATACTGGTTGTAAATAATAATTAAATTGTTTTTTGAAACAATTATAATTTAAGATGTATTAATTGTTAACAAAGTTTGTTAACATTAAATAAATTTTAATTTTAATTCCCACACCATATAAATTGTTTAAATAAGTGTGGATATTGGTAAATGTGTTTATAAAAGTAATTAACATTCTTAGACAATATTAATTATTATAATGACATGTCATAATAATGTGCCAATCAATTGTTACTTTGATAGATGAGTCTGATGAAGAACCAGAGCAAAAGACAAAAAAAAACAAGAAAAAGGATGAAAAGAGAAGTACTTTTGCTCTTCTAGAAATAGAAGATGCAGATGTTTCCCCACCTGAGGCACCACCTTCCTCAGATGATGAAGAAACAGTTAAAAAACCAAAACAAAAATCTTCCCAAGAAAAAAAGGAACCTGCTGGTAAAAAGGGTAAAAAATCAAAAAGAAAGAAGGATGATAGTGATGACGATATAGAAAAAGTACTGGCTGAACTGGAAATGGAATATGCTGGTGTTAAAAAAGAACCTAGTGTTGTTCCTGATGCTGATAAACCAGTAGAGGCAACTGAAGAAAAGTCAAAATCCAAAAAGAAAGGTAAAAAAGACGAGCCGAAGACAGAACCAGAAAAAGATGCTGAAGAGGACCATGCTAGTGATAATGAAAATGATGTAACTATCAAAACAGCAGCTCAAAAGAAAAAAGAAAAAAAAGAGAGGGAAAAATTGAAAAAGCAGGAAGCTAAAAAGAAAGAGAAAGAACAAGAAAATAAACAAGAATTAACTGAGAAGAAACAAGCACCAAAAACAACTGAAAAAATAGAGGATGAAACTTCTAAGGCAGATATTAGTCAAATTAAAGTAGATTCGGAGGAAAAAGATGGAGAAGGCGATACACCAGTCACAACGGAGGGAAGTAAAAAGAAGAAAAAGGGTGATAAGGGAGAAAAAGAAGATAAGACCAAAAAAGGAGGTCCAACTAAGAAAACTATTGCTGCTATGCAAGAGGCTCTGAAAAAAGTCAAAGAAGAGGAAGAGCGTTTACAAAAAGAAGAAGAAGAACGGATTAAACAAGAAGAGGAACGTGAACGTCAGCGATTAGAAGCTATTAGGTTAGAAAAAGAAAAGAAAGATCGAAAAAAACAAAAAGAGAAGGAGAGAAAAGAAAGACTTAAAGCTGAAGGCAAATTACTCACTCCAAAACAAAAGGCTGAAAAGGCTAGAGCTCAAGCATTGTTAGAGTCTCTGAAAGCACAGGGTGTTGAAATTGGATCTGCAGAGAAGAAACCTCCAAGGCCAGGTACAAGAATAAAGCCACAAAGACTTAAAAGTCAGTTGTCACAAGATGCCCCAACAACTCCTATTGAGGATAAGAAAATGCAAGTAGAACTAGAGGATAAGAAGGTATGGAAATCTGTATTAAAAATTTGTGTTATTTTAATATGACAAAATAAGAAACTCAAGTTTTATTTTTTTATTAATAGGAAGAATCACCAAAATTAGAGGAAAAGAAAAAGGAATCTGAAGATGAATCTGTGAAAGATGCATGGGATGCTGAATCTTCAGAAGAAGAAGCTGAACCATCAAAGCCTGAACCAGTGCCATCACCAACAAAGGAAGAAAAGAAATCTGAGCAAGATAAGGCTAAAGAGGTATTGTTCTACCACTTTCATGGTTTTTATCTATATAATTTATGCTATTTTTCATAATGTATTAGATGATAATAGCCATTTAAAAAAATACTGCTGTGGCAACCTCAAACAATAGGATGAATACAAAAGAATTCCAACTCATGTTTCTTAAACTTAAGTCATTACTTATTTCAAGTTAAAAATACTGGGTGTATTTTTAACTTGAAATAACAACTAATAATAAAGAGTTACAATCTATTTTGATAGAATTTCATAGTACTTTGTACTTAATATCTCCTGTGTTGAGCAGACATAGTGATGTGAGTATGATAAAAAAATGAAGAATAATTTCTAAAGTTGTTATGATTTAAAACCTTTAATTTAATAAATGAGGCCGATGAGGAATGATACTGCACATAAGCTTATTTGAATAAAACTTTAGTTTTAAGCAATTATTTCGTCATTTGATAGTAATCATGTAATATCAATGTTTAGAATGAAGATGATGAAAGTTCTGAAGATGACGATGAAGAAACCTCTGATGAGGATTCTAGTTCCGACGAGGATTCTGATGACGATCAAATGACTGATGTACAGAAAAAGAGGGAGCTTATTCTGAAGAGACTGGAGGTAAATAAGTATTTTTTTTTCTCACATATTGAATTATTACTTAGGAATTTTAGCTCTTTTGTTAGGACAAAAAGCGACATTTTTAACTGTCGTCATTCTATACAAATGACGATATCATAAATGATTATACTGAAAGATGTTTACTAAATTGTTGTAAACAATGATAATTACGATATTTGTCCCATCTTTTAGGCATTCCATGTATTATTTATGTATCTGGGTGGATGCTGTGTTCATCGCCCGATAGGGTGAGAAATTTAGTGTAAATTTTAAGACTTTGGCACACTACAATATTGACCATTACTTCTCGTGTTGCTTCTCCTGCCCAATCAAAACTAATATGAACCTGCAAATGTATCTTATAGAAACGTCGCGAAGAGAATGAAGCCAATAAGGGCAACAATCCCCTCCGCGCAGCGGTGGTATGCGTGCTTGGTCATGTCGATACTGGTAAGACCAAGATTCTGGACAAGTTGCGTCGTACCAACGTACAAGACGGGGAGGCAGGTGGTATCACACAGCAAATTGGTGCTACTAATGTACCAATTGAGAACATCAAGGAACAAACTAAACATGTTAAAGGGGTATGCTTTTTCATTTCTACATTATTAAATTTATTATTTTGTTTAAACCCTACTTTGAAATAATAAAAATAACTTGAGAGTTATTTTAGTTCAATACTGTTAAATTTTATTTGTATTTTATAAAGAAACTTTAATTATTCTCGTACGTTTTAAATCAAATGTATACATCAATGATACATTGACTTGATTAATGCTTTTATAACTAAATACGGGAACTAAACGAACTTCTACTGTGTTCTCTTACGCAACTATTTTTCCTACTTCATGTGATTTTAATTTAATTACAGGTCAGCGAGATACTATTCAAACTACCTGGTCTGCTTATTATCGATACTCCTGGCCACGAGTCCTTTAGCAATTTGCGTAATAGAGGTTCTTCTCTTTGCGATATTGCCATTCTTGTAAGTAGATTATTTTGTACATATTAATAACTTATATTAATTAGTAATTTATCATTCCTAAACAATAACAATTTTCGTTTCTTTACTGTCTAGTGATAGAATGATATTGTATTTGACAACTTTCTTACCCAGGATGTTCTAACAACTGACTAACTTTTGTATTACGAAAAGATGACGACTTCATACTGGCAATAGATTAATAGATTAGTCCTAAATTAAGTATGCTAAGGAAAAAAATAAATTGCGCAATATTTCTAATACTACCTCAAACATTTGAAGTAATAGCCATGGATTGCCTTTATGTAATTGTTGTACTTATTTAAATTGTGTTATTACACATACTTTTTCTTTATTACCCTTGTTTATAAAGCTTTTTACTTTTAAAAATTGTAGAAATAATCAATTATGTAATTTAAAAAAAAAACAAAATAATACGAATACCATTAGAGCAGTCGGGTACCTACATCAATTCATCTATTTAAAAATAGCTTGTTACGATAAACAAATCAAAAATATGTTTCACTAAACTTCATTTTTTCCTGTAGGTAGTAGATATTATGCACGGGCTGGAGCCCCAAACAATTGAGTCGATTAATATGCTGAAACAAAAGAAGACACCGTTCATCGTGGCGTTAAATAAGATCGACCGTCTGTACGACTGGCAGAGCGCGCAAAGGAAGGACGTTAGGGATATACTGAAGATGCAACAGGCTAACACTCAGCTGGAGTTTGATAAGCGGAGCAAGGATGTTATCCTCCAGTTTGCAGAACAGGTATGCTTGGATGACCAATATTGCATTGAATTTTTATTATAACTTGAAATGTAGAATCTAAATCTCAAGATTAATTTTCTGTGATTGGGACGGCAACAATATGACGGGCCACGTAATGGTTAACCACACACCCTTGTTTGATACTAAGATATACAGAGATGAAAAGGTAACATTTCATGAAATAACATTCAAGCGTTTTATTTAAAACTAGCTGTAGGACTTCATCTGCGTGGAATTTAACTTTATTTTTTTAAAATAAAAGTAGCCTAAGTTACTCCTTGTTACATTAGCTACCTGCCAAAAAAAGTCCCGTCAAAATCGGTCCAGCCATTTCAGAGATTAACCGGAACAAACAGACAGACAAAAAATATAAAAAATGGTTTTTTGGTATATGTACCGTATTTATATTCATATGCATGTATTAAAAAACGGTTATTTCAATATTACAAACACACACTCCAATTTTATTTATATGTATAGATTGTATATGAGACGTCTGTATAATAAAACTGTAATATGTATTATAATCAAAGAGCACATAAAACTGACAAATATACCTTGGGCAGGGTCTGAACGCAGCATTATTCTACGAGAACCCAGACCCGCGTACGTATGTGTCGCTGGTGCCGACATCCGCTGTGACAGGCGAGGGTATGGGCAACCTGCTGGCGATGATCGTGCAGGCCTGTGAGGGACCACTGCACAAGCGGCTCGTCTTCTCGCAACAACTTCTCGCTACCGTACTCGAGGTATGTTTATGGTTTTTTGTCACAGGAATAGCCAAGAAATAAGTGGTCCACCTGATAGAAAACAAATGATGTGTACCATAGGTAGTGAAAGGGAATTAAAGATGCAACATCGTCTTTGTATCTTTAGCTATATACCCTTCCTAAAGTGGAGATATGAGAATGAGAATGTTTTCAGGGTAAATCAGGTAAAAACTGGATTTTACGGCACCAATGTTGTTATAAGAAGAATATCTAAAAAAATGAATTATAAAATTAAATAGAAGAATCGAGAAGAAATTAAAGAGAAGATCGCTCCACTTTCTATTTCCCATTAATTTGCTGTTTCCTTTTCTATTGTTTATGTCTGTCCACAGATATCTCGTTTTTCGTTTCCAATTTCGTCATACATGCATAAAATTGTTTCTCATTACAATATCAGAATTGAACCAATGGATATCCTATATAATTCACAAATATAATAGACTTGCCATTATTTAATTTACATATAGATATAAATTTATATATCTATAGAGATCTTTTAATTATATTCATCCAATAATATTCTTTTTTACAATGAAATATTAATTGAAAGTTCAACTATCAATAAAAATCATTATTAATGGTTTATTTATTGTCAACAACCAGGTGAAAGCCATCCCAGGTCTAGGTACTACAATTGATACAATCCTGATCAACGGCACGCTCCGTGAGGGTGACACCATGGTGCTGGCGGGCACTGAAGGTCCCATTGTTACACAAATCAGATCCTTGCTCATGCCGCAGCCCATGAAGGAGCTCAGGGTTAAGGTAAATGTTATTTATCTGTATATTTGTATAAGCAAAAACATTACGTACTTGTAGCTTATATAGAGAAGGATTGCATAATGCTAATATTAATCCGCTATACCACCAATCTATTACACCAGCAACCCTTTACGACTGCAAATATTTCAAATAATGTTTATATTAATATTAAAGTTTTAAAGTGGTGAACAAATTGCCGTATGTGTAAATTGCCGAAACATGTTTTTTATATTTTTTTTGTGTATTACAGAACGCATACATTGAGCACAAAGAAGTAATTGGTGCACAGGGTGTTAAAATCGCCGCGAAGGAGTTAGAAAAATCTATTGCCGGTCTCAATCTACTTGTGGCACAGAAGCCGGATGAAGTTGATGTATTGAAGTGAGTTGAATCTATAGATAAAACAAAATATTAAAATATTTGTCTGGTTGTTTTTGCTAAACTCGGAAACGACTGGATCGATTTTGACAGAACCTTCACTTGCAGATAGCTAATGTTATGTGAATGTATGTATACACATAACATTATTTAGTATGTATGTAACTTAGGCTACTTTTATTTATTTGAATAATATACAAGTAAAATTCCATTACGAGAGGAAATCGCGAGTAAAAGCAATTTTATATTGACCGTCATAGCAACCTCGATGATCTTAGTTGTTTAGCATACCAATGGTCTTACTTCCGATGGTCGCAAGTTTGTGGACTCGCACGTTGCAAAATATTTCATGTCATCAACATATAAATAGAAATGTGTTTATTCAAATAAACTTAATATAAGCATGTTTTAATATTTATATAATTTTATTAATTCTACCGCTCATTCGGTAAGCAGGCTCTTCACAGAAGAACGAGCAAGAAACTTAAGTGTTTCTCTATTAAGTTGTAACTTGTTTGCTATGCTGATATATTTAAAAAAATATCTTTGCAGGGAGGAAGTGGCGCGCGAGCTGAAGACTGCGCTGTCGTCCATTAAACTGTCGGAGCGCGGAGTATACGTACAGGCCTCCACGCTAGGTTCGCTCGAAGCGCTCTTGGAGTTCCTTAGGACTAGTAAAATTCCTGTAAGTTACTTTAAGAAAATTTCGTTTTTTTTTTAATTTCGAAATAGCTGCAGCAATGTTTCGTATAGCCTTGGAAAATTACATTATTGGTTTTTGTATTCTTGTATTTTTGTATTCAACAACGAATAAGACTATATCAAATGACAAACAAGTACAGATGTATTTTATTTGTCATTTTTTCTATTAGTTCTTGTCAGTGAAACTTTTTTAGAAATATGTAATTTAATGTGAATATAAAACGCGTATTACATTTATGTATGTTCACAGTACTCCGCCATCAGGATAGGACCGGTTGTAAAGCGAGACGTAATGAAAGCGTCCGCCATGTTGGAACATGATTCTCAGTACGCTACCATTCTAGCTTTCGATGTTAAGGTAAGTTGTATATATTTAATTATTATAGTGAAAAATGAACATAATTGTTATAATATTTTAAGTTTTTCGCCATGTTCCCGAGGAATTTCTAACGCGAAATTCTGTTGCCGCGACTTAGCACGCGTGGAAACGAACTTTATTTTTCTAAAATAAAAGTAGCCTAAAAAAATTGTTACTCCTTACTACATCAGCTACCTGCCATAAAAAGTCCCGTCAAAATCGGTCCAGCCATTTCAGAGATTATATTTCTGACCTGGAACAAACAGACAGTCAGACAAAAATTGTAAAAAATGTTATATTACACCAATATAACATTTTTTGTACCGTATTTATAGGCATAGATTACACTTATCTTTTAAATACTACAACATATAGTTTCTACAGAATTCCTTTTAACCGTATCATATAATACTGCTTGTAATATGCATAGCTGTAAGTAATTGTAAGTGGAATCATTTAGACCGTTCATGTGTTAAAAATCTCATTTATTATATTTAGCAAGATGTATGTAGAGGGCCTTCTACATACAATTTGTATTAGATCCCAAACACTATCTCTCCTACATTAATGGCATATTTTTCTGATATAAATATTCTAACATTGTCTTTTACAATATCACTTCTTATTTTATTATCAACTATCTGTGGCCGCTGTTTCACCCGAGTCTAATATATAGCCTCTGTATAAGGTATATTATTGCAAAGTTTAATTAAAATCCATTGAGTAGTTTTTGCGTGAAAGCATCCATCCACACTCACAAACTTTCGCGTATATAATTTTAGTAAGAAGAATAATTGTAAATTTTAAATGGTACACCATAATAGATCGAACGCGATGCTCAAGAGATGGCGGACCAGCTCGGCGTGAAGATATTCGCGGCGGACATAATTTACCATTTGTTCGACAAGTTCACCGCATACCGCGAGGAACTGAAACAGAAAAAACGTGAAGAATTCAAACACATTGCTGTCTTCCCGTGCAAACTGAAGGTAATTTGTCTGAACTAATATTTGGTTGTAATATCCTAATAAACACAAAAAACTTAAACTATTTTAAACATTCTTTCACCTATAGATAAAACATGTTTATAATGGATGATAATGCAATGTTGCATCCGTCTGTGGTAACAGTATACGCTAGAGGGAGAGGGGGATTGTTAGAAATTTGGACCCAATAGCTTGTGGTGTACCATGTCAGGTTTCACCTGGAAACCATCCTGGTAAATTGTCATTTGCCTAGATGGGCTAGCTAACCTGGCTTCATGCTCATTTATCATTAGAATAACAAATAGAATTAATGACCCATCTGATAGTTGCAATCGTGGTCTATATACAGGAAAAGCACATGAAACAACATCAAGTAACGCCCAATTCACACGTTATGTGATATCATAATATGTTTAAACTTAACTTTTCAACATGTATTTTGTTGGTTAAAATATAATTAATCACAATTACCACATCGACGCGATTTTAATTTTTAAGCGTGTTAGACGTTAGCTTCGTTTTAAAAAATAAGTGACATTTCTTTTCAAAACAATCGTTAACATTTGAAATGTTTACTGAACTGATTGAAATGGTAATAAAAGTGTGTTTCTAGTGCCTTTTTGCTTTTTATTTTACAACCGACACAAATCTTGAATAAATATTGTTATATGCAGGTGCTACCTCAATTCGTCTTCAACTCTCGTGATCCCATCGTCGCTGGTGTTATGGTGGAAGCTGGAATTGTGAAAGAAGGCACGCCCATCTGTGTACCTAGTAAAGAGGTAATTTTTCTTTTTTATTGCAATTTGAATCATGTTCATATAATTATTGTAACACTCCTGAACAAATAATATATTGAGTATATTGTCTGTTCAGTATCAGTATCAGTTTTATAATAATTACATGAATATTAATCTATTATCTTGTACAATACATAAGTGTTAAATATACTTGATGTAATTATTATAGTGAAAAATGAACATAATTGTTATAATATTTTAAGTTTTTCGCCATTATTATACATGAATATGTGTAGATTAGTTTCGAGGAATTTCTAACGCGAAATTCCTTCCTTTCGTTAATTTCCACGTTTTATAAACCATTTTTATTTATTTATTTATTCTTTTGCGCACAAAATTGTATACATGGCGGCCTTTAAGTCTAATGGCATTCTCTACCACTCTACTGTCGCGCTGATGAGAGATAGGGCGGCGCAATTTAATAATTGATTGTAAATATAAACATATTTTCTATAAATAAAAAGTTTATTGGTGAAAATTTTGAATAGAATTTTTTTAAATGTTAATTAAGGGCAACATTGATAAGTACTTACGTATAGTTATGAAATCTGTATATATGTAGGATATGAATAAAGTATCTAAATTGTAACATGCCACCGCTCGTATCATACCTAATCTGTCAATCGACTAAGAAACAGTTTGAATGAAATACTATCATTGTCCAAACATTGTAATTGTCTAAATGTTATTTCGTCTATAATCGAAATGCCTATAACCAGCGAGAACTAGCGCTTACATCTTACCAATGCCTAAAGCGCAAGTTTGTATGTATTTTTATAACTCAATATTGGTATTTGAATATAGAAAGGTAAATTACTATTATTTATTTTAGTATGCTCCCTTTGATGGGGTCTCTATCACCCTCTATCTATCTAAATCTATCACCCCATCCAAACCTTTGCAAGTGAAAATTACATCATTATTATTATATAGATTATTATTAAATCTTAATTACAAAAGTAACAATATGAATTAACATAAGTATATATTATTTTAAAAGTCACTAACAAAAAATGTTAGGCATGTACTTACACATACACAAATTGGGTGAATGCTTCTATCTATGTATTTCTTATCAACAAACTTCAATATTCAAGTTGAAAGTTAAAGTATTTTTTTAATAAATACAATGTATATAGTAACTCAAAAGGATCTACAGCGTATATAGAATACGATTCAACATCCTCATATACTTCAGGAAACCTCGACTCGAATTACAAACACAATTTCAATTTATTATACGATCAAAAATAATTGTATAAATAGATCTCTAGGAAAGTTCTAGATGATAACAATGTTCCAGTTTTCAACTGTACTTAATATGGCACGCCATCGAGAAGTGTATTAACAATTTCATCGTTATTGTGATAACCACTAGGGTGAATATGAATTGATGAGAATTGTGTTGTTGTACAGTTTGTGGAGCTGGGTATAGTGACATCAATTGAAGTGAACCACAAACAAGTGGAGTCGGCACGCAAGGGACAAGAGGTCTGCATCAAAATAGACCCGATACCCGGCGAGTCGCCGAAGATGTTCGGCAGACATTTCGACGAGACTGATATGCTAATCAGCAAGGTAACTATTTATAATTATCATTATAGTAATCAGGTTTACCGGACTGCTGAAAAACAAATAGTGTCACTTTTTATACCATCTGATGGTAAATGGTTAACGTAGCCTATGGATGCCTGAAACACTACGGATGTCATGTGCGCGTTGCCGAATATGATTAATATACATATTTACATTTTATTTTCTCTTCTATGAAGTATGGAAAATTACAGATATGATATTAAAAAATATATCACATACTTAAAAATCGAGTTTTCAGCTTTATTATTTCAGCAATGTTTTTGATTTGAAACTAAAGTATTTGAGTAATGTTAAGTTAACTCTATCTTACTACTTATAATTCTGCAAAGTTTGAAGAAAATTGGTATTGGTCGTTACGATAATGAGTGTCATACAAAAGCTACCCCTTACTCACCGCGCCGCGAAAAATTATGAGTTTTTCCTTTCATATAAATTTTCTATTTTATGCCGAATACATTTATCCTCGTTTTGAAAACATGTACACGCTGAATATATACTATGTAAATATACTTCTTTATTTATTATAGGAAAACCAAGGCTATACTGTATATATATTGAAATAATTTATAATACAAACTAAATCACTAACAGGCTTTCACAAATAGCAACAGAATAATAGTTTTAAATACGACATCACTATACATAAAGGGAACACAAATCGATATTACAAAGTGTTAGGAAAAAAACAAGATTACAGCAACAAATATTTAATGAGTTTATATTAATATATATTCATACCTGAATATGCCTGGGTTAGATATATTCTTTTTTTTATATATATTTCAAAGAAGGGGTTTATAAAATTGGTGTCTCGTTGATTTAATATTATTAGAAAATAGACCCAAGTCAACAGTTTTAAATGGTCTGTTAATATTTATAATATGGGTCATTAGTAGACTGAAATAAATAAATAAAATAAAATTGTTGCTAGCTCGCCGAATATTTTTTTTAGTTTATAATTCGTTGACACTAAGGGAACAGTGGGCTAATTATGTAACTTCGTTCGCAACGATTTTCGTATGTAACGTAGTGAAAATGACGTCATCTGTCAATAATGCGATCATATAGACGCCATTTGACGCTGTCAACTAGCATTGCAACGTAAACGCAACTTTACATATCGATAAAAATTATTTCTATCGAATGTCGATTTAGTAACCTCGTTGCAACGTCACGTAATCGCTATTTTGCCGAAATGACAGCGTGGAATTGAAACGGTTTTTACATTATGAGAAACAATTTAGAAGGTGTTTCTTTTGGTTACAATCTTTAAAATATCAGCATTAGCAGCATTATTTATCTTGTTTTGGTAATTTTCAGTATTACATATATTTTTATTATATTAAATATTACGTAGAAAGTCGTGAAAAGGTTTTAAATTTATTAAAATGGGAAAATTGTCACGACTCACAACACGACATCAGTGTTGCCAATTCGATATTTTATTTTCGTCCCAAATCACATAGAATGTTGTATTAACTAGAGTAAATGTTTAATATAAAATTAGGGTTGATTATGATATTAATATAATTAAAAAACTATTTCAATGAATACTGTGCTCTGTGAACGGAATACAACGTTTATGATGCTCTGTGATTTGTTTAAAGTAAATAAATTTATTTGTTTAAAGTTTTTACAATTATGTACAACTTTAAAAAGATGTGCCCATATCATTTTAAATTTATATGGATACCTACGTACTTACCTAGGTATCTATAGCAGAAAAGAAAATTTAATTTGTAGGTTAGATTAATATTATTAATGATTATAAATAGTTTGTATAAAATATGCTTTTATATTCAAAATTATTAACCTTATTTTTTCATTAGAATAGAATAGACTTTCTTTATTTTATTTTATTAAATGTCTATTAATAAAATTAAAATAAAAGAACAAGTGAACGCTGCAGTATATTTTGTAATTTTTGAACGCAATAAAAATTGTTTCAAATCAACCAACTAGTGTAACAACCCAATAAATTAAAATGTATCCCTCTAAAGGTATAAGCTATCTAATGTACTGACTTTTTAAATTGGTCGGATTAACAATATTCCGCTGCAACTTCATAGTAGTGTTTTATCGATAGAAATGATTTATGTTGCGGTCATTCGACCTTACTTGATCGCATTTTTTAAATTGAAATGATTTCATATTGCATCACAACTTCAACAGAAACAATTTCATATCGTGTTACATAATTAGCCCACAGATAGAAGGAGACTATGTCTTGTAATATGAGTCAGTTTTCGGCGCCTACAGCGACATTGTTCCCATGGCAGTTCACACAGCGCCATCTATTACCAAGATATATACATCTTGTCTTATGGGTACTAGGCAACTGATATAAATATTATTTATATTGTTAACCGTGTCTTAACACGAAGAATTTTATGGTAAACTAGCTATCCAGGCAAACTTTGCTTTGATATATACATTAAAATCGCTATTAAAAAATAGGGGTTGATGCTAGAAGTGTGAAAATTTAGGGTTGTATGTATTTTTTAATTACACATAATAAAAATATACAAATAAAAAATTTTGCCAAAAAAATAATGTTAGGGGTGGACAACCCTTATCACTTAGGGGTATGAAAAACATGAGAAACAGACAGTAGCCAATTCTCAGACCTACTAATTATGCAAATAATTTCATAAAAATCGGTCAAGACGTTTCAGAGGAGTATGGTAATTAACATTGTGACATGAGAATTTTATATATAAGATAAAGCTATTTTGCTCGACGACGAACATTTGAATCATAAATACATTTTATTTATGTAAATACTTACATTATATACATAGTACACACCCAGACCGATACAAACAATCATACTCATGAATACAAATGAGTTACTGTGTGAGGAATCAAACCCGCGACGATCTGACGGCGGTGTGTTAAACCACTAGATCACCGAAGCCGTCAAATATATGGCACTTCTATTTGTGTGTCGTCGTGTTTCGAAATGAATACATTCTTTTAAATTGGTTGATATATTCAATTCAAGTGTAATGTTTAATCAATCGTGAATGTTGTCGGGAGACTTGTACCTACTATTGATGCTCGACTATAACAAATATCTTGTGTAAAAAAATAATTTCAATAATTGTCGTTGCCATTTAATTTGGCGCCCCTATTGCCATGGCGCCTGTGTAGGGCAGACACTTCGCACACAAGGGCGGCGCGGCCCTGGGTTCAATTATACATTGATCCCTTCTTTGCGATAGGTTATTTATTTAAATAACATTAATGCCCATAATTTCAAAGTACTTGTGGTGGACCTAACACCATGCGGCATCATCTACCAGTCAACCGTAGGTGGTGCAGAGAATAATTGTTGGCGGTGCAAATATAAATAAAAATGATGTAATGGACAAATATGTATATGAATACATAGCTACATATATGTATACACACATATACATATATGTAGCTATTACTATACATAAACAATAAATAAATACATATCTAATAATCTGACAATGGAATATCATTCACGGCCACAAATTATGGAAGAAGAAAAAATATTTTAAAAAAAGTACATCAGGTGGTGAACTGATAACCACTTCAAATCGTACAAAAAAGACAGTATTGTTTTCCCATTTGTAACATTTTTTCCAACTGCTTAATCGGACGATAGGAGGGACGGAAGGACTCATGGGGCAGCTTAGGCCAACTCCCGACTGACGGATACGACTTTAGTCTGAACTCTGAAGGCACCGCTGGGGATTCGAAGTTCAGTTCAGGCCGTCATAATTTCGATCCCTGTTTGAATCGTACGGGGGACCGAAGGTGCCCATTCGTAAAATTGTATATCGTATGCATTGTTACTAACAAATGTCCTTCTATACTGAGAACAATTATGTACGTTTATAATCAAACTATGATATCACTCTGTTTTCGTTTCGGAAGCACTACGCTTGGAATTTCTTCTCGGAAAACTTTTATTTATATAATAGTGCATGTAACTAGGCAGATAGTTGATACCAGTCTCGCGGCAATGACTGGCGATTGCGAGTTCCGATCGCGCATCTCGATCGCTTTCTAGACTTTCAGGCGATATGCACTACAAAATATTTTGCATTCTTTGTGTATGTGAATAGAATTCAGAATAGTCTACAAGTTTAAGTGTGAGGTATACCAGTGAAATTACATAGTACGGAGGCACGATCTGTATGTGTCATCACATAATATACATAGGAAACACCCAGACCAATATAAACAATCATAGAAATGTTTATACTGTGCGAGGAATCGAATCCACGATCATCGTAAGGCGTGGGTGTGGTATAACCTCTGGACCACCGAGGCCGGCCGATCCTATACTCGGCAACATTATCTGGCAAACCCAAAAATTATTTTTTCTAAATTGAATGTTTGAGGTATGTTTTTCTTTTTATTATTAAATGTCTGTTTGATGTTTTCTAATAAGTGATGGTATCACGATGGGATAACTGACCTGACTCATGCTCATCGTATCATCCTCCACTGGTGCTCCGCCAGTGTAAACCGATAGCGCAGGCGGACGCTCCATTCCATTATCATCCATAAAAGAAAAAAGTGATGGTGATTTTGTACAGAATCGTCTCATGGATGTCTCGCCCATAGTGTTTTGTAGGCTGTGATTCGGTAGCAGGGTGGCATACGGTAGTGAAACTGTGTATGAAGTAGTTTTCCAGAATTTGTAACTCAGGAGAAGTACTAGCATCACATGATGACGTAATGCCAGTAGTGATGTTCATAAATATATGCTACAGTTACTCCTTACCACAGAAGTTATGGCAGTTTGATATCAATTCCAGTTACATAAAAAATGAATTGAAAAGTGTTTTTAACCAACTACAAAGAAGGAGGAAGAGGTTCTCTATTCGGTATTTTTTTTTAATTAGTATTTAGTCCTATTTTATTTTAGTTTTCGGATTCAGTTTTTTTAGAAAATTGTTAAGACAGAATGTAATAGAGAACATATAATAGAGAAATAAACA